TTTATTAGTAAACAGATGAACGTAGTGGTCGCTGGATCTTAGACTGTTATGAAATCATCATTTGAAACAAAAACGTTATTCTTCTTATTAATCTTATCTACATTACATAGTAGGTATATCAAAGATGAGAAAATGAAGGAAAAATAATAAAGTTGAAAAAATAATTATTCAAGTTTTTTATGCAAACAAACTGACGATAAACTGTCAACCGCCGCCCATAACCAATAACATTAATTATCGGAAATTTTAATTTTGTACAAAATTTAGGTACCTACATAGTGATTCAATTCATATTAAAATATTTTCTTTGTTACATTATTTACTTCACGTACACACGTAGATGGTTTATTTTATATAAATACGTTTTTAATTTGGCTATGGTGGAATCAAAATAGCTTTTATTACAAAATATTTTTAATCTCTATTATTTGAGAATTGACAAAAAAATATGGTACTTAATTTCCAGTTTGTTTTTAAAGTACAGTCACCCTGCACTACACGCGATATGTGTATTAGTACAGTAGTAGTAGTATAGTACATACAATGTTTACGATGAAGCGTATTTTGAGAAAATTCAAATCGCTGAGTTACAATCTATACTCAGCGATTTGAATTTAACTGACCCTGTAATTTAAAAAAAATAATCGTTTTTAATGGAATGGTGCATCCGCCTGAGTTACCGGTTTATGATGGCGGGGCACCAGTGAACGATAATAAAAAGAACATGAGGGTCAGTTAGCCTATCGTGACAAATATATTCCAAAAAATTCCTAGTGAACTAAAAAAATGTTCTGAACTTCATCCCTACTTAAAAAAAGTAGTGGTTAGGTTGGCCTGAAAAGAAACCCGCTGACGCCCCAGGTCCTGAACAACACATACGACTACACAACTATGTGGGAAAAGAGAAATGCCTTAATGGTTCGGTAGTTTCTGCCCGTCCAACCCCTGACTAAAACTCATTAAAGTAAGAAAACTTTCGCTCCCTAATGAGTTTTCACGAAATTAATAAAATAAAAATATTAGGGTAATATTTATACTACTTCTATTTATAATATTTGTACTTCTATTTCTATTGAACAATGTGAAATTTCGATAAAAATAAGTATTTACAAACCATAAATATATTTAGTTTTTAGTCGATCAAATAATATCTATACATGTGTAGATATTACTAGAAATAATGTATATTAGTAGAAATTACGTTACTAATTACCTGTACAGAGTATATATCTGGTAGTTAAGGAATATGACAGGTTTATTAATAAAATTAAAGCAAAATAATAATGAAACTGAACTAGATTCTTTTACCAAAAAAATTAAGACGATTATTACCAAATTTATCGTAGCCATATGAGCGTATTATTGTTGTTTTTTTTAATTTTCAAATTTGTTTTTATGGAAGCATTATGAAAACCTTTACATTTAACTTGGTATACTCCTTGCGACTCATCCAGAAGATACGTACATATTATAGTTAAAATTATGTGTTGTCGTATTATATAGGTGTGTTCCGCGGAATCCTCCACTGCACGCCGTCCAATTCAGAAGAAATGGCGGCCATCTTCGCCTATCGATATATAAGTATATTCACCAAATTTCATACAGCACCCGTCCGGATTATTCCTTTTTTATTTAACGTCTATTGAGTTTTTTCTTTTTACTGGAGTCATAAGAGTCATAACATGGTTATTAATCTTCCCGAGGAGTTGGGCAAATTCAAAAGCACGCTGAATCAAGCTCTTCATACCTATTTACATTAGTATAGCATTATTTTTACATGTCTTACTCATACAATTTAGGTACCTAAAATATATATATTTAGGTATACATGTACTTACATGTTTTGCGATGTTTATATTAGCAGATGCGGATAATTATTTCAAAGAATCTACATAACTATATATAGAAGAACAAATTCATCGAAAGTTAAGATGCAATGTACGTAACATCTTAACTAAGCACAAAATATTACCAAATCTACGTAAACACGTGTAAATTTAAGTTGGTTCAACGTTGTACCTACGCACAACTATAGATATTAAATAACAAATGTAGGTACAGTTAAGAATATAAAGCAGCTAGAGTTTTACAAATACGTAGAAATCATTGTTGTTGATTTACGTCGATTGACAGTGTAGGCGCTTATTTATATCAAAACTAGCTGTACCCGCGACTTCGTCCGCGTAAAATAGTGACCTTGACCAAATAATGAAAAAAATATTTAATAACCTAACCCAATAAAAGCCAAATGAAAAAGTTTCATCGTTTCATCTTCAAAAATGACGACACTTCCATACCTAACTAAGATACATAACTCTTCAACCCCTTATAACTCTTTTTCTTAATATATATTTAATAAATAGGCTAAAAATTAAATTTCAAGCTTGTAGCTTTAAAATGACTATATTTCCATATTAACATTTAACTCTATTTTAAATTCCTTACAACCCATTTTCTTTATTTATATTTAATCAACAGCCTAAAAATCAGTTTCAGGCTTTGAAAATGGCGATATATCCATACAACCTTTCACTTTTCTATCCCCTTACAACCCTTTTCTACATTAAAAAATACCCTATATCCATTCTCAGGGTCTAGATTATATGTTCCAAATTTCATTTAAATCGGTTCAGTAGTTTTGGCGTGTAAGCGAGATCGAGAGTTATAATATTAGTGAGGTATTTAATAAAACTAAAAAAGCCAATGAAAACAGTTTCATCATTCTAGCTTAAAAGTCATGAATTTACATAAAAACTTTGATTCCCTCTTATTGTACCCCCATAAAATTATTAAAAATTATTACAAACTTTGAATGTTATATTTATCACCAACCTAAAATATAAGTTTCAAGGTTCTAGCTTCAAAAATGACGATTCTTACGTACGACCTTTTTTTTTAACGTCAGGAAAATCTTCATAGCGGCCCACTGCCTTAGGGGCCAAATGGGTATTACCGGATTCATACCGGCCAAAAACCTGACGACTATTCCTCCTCGAACATGTCGCCGTAGCCATGGGATCGTATATGCATTCTCCAAGACTACCGGCACGGTTCCCATCAAAGGGACCTTTCATCTAGGCGTGCAGGGAATAGCCTCTGCACGCCACCGTAATGCCTCCCTGGTGAACCTAGGGTCAAATATGGATTAGATGCCCACGCTGATCAGACTCAGGTGTCCATCGTATCCTCTCCCCCCGCCAATAACCGGGCATCGCACCCAGATTGAGCCCACGCCGCGCCGAAGGGAGTGCGCCGGACCTCACCCGCTTTTACGCTTGTTTCCGCGCATCCTCCTTCTCGCGCTATTGCGGTAAACGACGTTCTCGGATGTTACTGAGTCGTCCAGGTCACATAGTCTCAACTCAGCCGATTTATGCGACCTAGTGAACCGGACTTTTCCTACTGGCAAGATCTCCATTAACCTTGCGGCCAGTGAGTTCGCTTTGTCTTGTATCGGCGCTTGGAACTTGTAGGATGCGACCTCCAGTCACACCCAGCCGGAACCTTAGGTCGGGCAACCTTGCATGTTCCCTTTCAACCCCTTACAACTCTTCTATCGCATTCAATAGTAGCCTATGTCCTTTCTTAGGGTCTAGACTAACTGTGTACCAAATTGCATTTAAATCGGTTTAGTAGTTTTGGCGTGTAAGTCAGACTGACAGACAGATAAAGTTACTTTCATAGTTATATATTATTGGGGTATTTTATAAACTGGGTTAGTTTAAAAAAGCCAATGGAAAAGTTTCGTAGATCTGGCTTCAAAAATGACGAATTTACCTAAAATCTTTCATCCCATATTTTATTTTATTTTAAGACTAAAAATTTTAAAAACTTTGAATATCATAATTATTCATATTTAATCACCAGCCCAAAATATTAAGTTTAAGTACCTTTAAAAATGATGATTCTTACGTACATCTACCATTTACAACCCCCTTACAACTCGTTTTTCGCATACAAAAGTATTCTATTTATTTTAATTCGGATTACATCCATATGTACTATCTATTGAACTAGAATAATTATGTACCATATTTCACTTAAATGTGTTCAGTAGTTTTGGCCTGTAAGTGAGACTGACAGACAGAATTACTTTTAAAGTTATAATATTAGCACAGATAACGTAATATTTAGTAAGGTATTTAATAAACTTGTTGGACATAAAACTCCTTTGTTATATTGACATATATTATTTGTATATAAAAAGAAAAATCATATTAATAAAAAAAACGACTGCGAATAAAATGGTGTTTCCTTATTTGCCCTCTGCATAAATAAAATCCCAATAGCACGCCTCCACTGCGCAGCCCACGAATTATGATGAAATAAAAGTAAATAGTAAACTCAAAAAGCCAATGAAAAAAATTTCATCGTTCTAACTTCAATAATGACAAATTTACATAAAACTTAGTATGTCATATTTATTTATATTTAATCAACAGCCTCGAAAATAAGTTTCAATCTTCTACCTTCAATAATAACGAATTTACATAAAAAAAATTATTCCCTAATTTATTCCCCTTAACATAACTTTTAACTTTGTATGTCATACTTTAATTAGCATCCTCAAAAATAAGTTTCAAGCTTCTAACTTCAAATATGACGATTCGTCCATACAATCTTTTATCCCTAATTTCAACCCCTTACAACCCTTTTTTCGCACTAAAGAGTAGCCTATGTCCTTTCTCAGGGTCTAGACTATCTGTGTACCAAATTTCATTTAAATCGGTTCAGTAGTTTTTGCGTGAAAGCGTGACAGACAGACAGATAGTTACTTTCACATTTATAATATTAGTAAGATTAGCAAGAAAGTAAGTATAAAAGCTGTGATATCATAAAATCTTACATTATACCTACAGTTCATATTCGAACTTGCAATTAGGTATGCATTTTTGTATGCACAGCTATTCATATTCTTTGCCGTTTGCCGCACGCCGCGCCGCCGCCCTTCCAACTCGACTCAGTACGGGTGGTGTAATATATAGCATCCAAGTGGCGGGTTTACTGTTTGTATCACGTCGTCCACGCAATAGTCGTTGTCTCGTTGACGGTTGTTCTATCGAAGTAATACTAAGGTAAATAAAATAAAACAAAGCTTTTCATACAAATGTATTTAATACTTACAATTTTTTTTTTCTGGGTGTATATTAATTTTGTAAAGGATAGTAATATTTTATCACAGATTTTTTTTCAGTGCTGTAGTTTATTATTACATTATTTAAAAATAATTTAATATTCAGTCGCTGAATATTGTCGTTTACCTTACACTTATTAAAAATTCTATTTATTGTAATTAGCTGTGAATATTTATATAATATTATAACATAAGGTACTTACCTAAGTATAGCTTATAAATTATAAATTAGTGAATTACAGATAGTTACCAATATTTTTATTGTTAATAATTTAGATGAAATAAATTAGTAGGTAAAAAAATTTAAGACATTTCACATACTTCTTTAATATTGTAGTTTCTCATATATTTAGTTATGAAATTTTAATACTTATTTTATTAGACGGATATTTCTCCAAACAGATCATCTCTCAGTTTCGAGCATATAACGCCTAACAAAATTCCAAGTAAAATGTATTATTATTATTATATATTAATATTATTATGCCGGTTATTTTCTTTACAAAGTACTTGGTTTAATAATAATAATATATATATCTAATATGTGACATTGATGTGTAGAGGCTTCCTATCACAGACAACTCTAGTTCTAACGTTAATGCCCAGCTTACCTACCTACTCATAATTGAATTATAGACAGTCCGATAGATAATCGTCCCGTTTTCGTTCGCCTTAAATCTTTACGTAAGAATCATCATTATCATACGCCACCTTATTAATCATTACCTACTATCTACAAAAAAGTGAATAGTGACAAAATATCAAACTTGCTGTAACGGTAAATTAACAATAATTATACACACAAGAATATTGCATATTGCATAGCAATCTAACTGACTTTTAAACGGTTGGATAAGATTTATTGATATTTATTTGTCTTTGTTGAATTTAGTTTGCATATTTAAGCAAGAGCCAGACGAAAGCGTTTGTCGATCTATGTTACGCCACTACACATATGGAACCTGTCTCAGTAACTATAGCTTTGCAAGAACTTAAGATATGAAGAACAGAAAGGACCATGACCCGCTTTCGTAGTTTGCTTTTATTTCGACTTTGAGGATTGACAAAACTTAGGGTACTTACACAGAAACGAAGATCGATTCATTGAATCGATAATTCAAGTAAAATAGACTTTATGTTATCGGTTTAAGCAACACTCATGCGGAATTAAACAAAACAACATTTCTGGCGTACATTATTGATTGCTTAGAAGTTGTAATACATATACCGTTTAGCGTTGTGTTATATATTTCTAATGACACCTAATTAAGTAGGGTTTTCCAAGTTTTGTGCTCAATTTAGATGCTAAGCATATTATTTTTTTTACTTTCAATACTTTTTTAATCTTTTTAATTATTTAATGTACTCTTTATAATAATCATCTACCAACATACATACCGTTTAATTGTTGTGTATGAAATATGTATTATAACTTGTATTATGGCGGTAATAGGACTCAGTCAGAGGCATAAAAATACCATGCGGATCATAAATCAAGTCTAAATATTTAATAACTTATTAGAAAACTTCGATATCTAACTGGTCCATCTTTTTTCAGTTTCCTCAAAATGTGGTCTACATACGTGGCCGTCGTTGTCGCAGTGGTGGCTTACGCCGATGGACATTCCATCGGTGCCCCTGTCAGCGCCTGTAAGGATATGATCCCGATGCACGGTGTCTCTGCTCAGAACACCCCGGCGCCTTATGTTATCACGACCAGCTCTGAGGTACTAATAACGTCTTTTCATCTTATACTGTGGCAACATATGATTACTTGAGTCAACATGAAATATTTTATTGTACTTCAAAAGCCTGCCATATGAATATCCATTCGTCGAATTACTATGACGAAAAATAAAGAGCCTCTAGTAGTAGTCCGTTAAAATTAACTTCGACAGTAGATGATCGTGCATAGAAGACAAAAGAAAGAATACGTACCTACTTATTCTGTTTTTAATGTCATTATTATACCTTGTGTAGTAAGAATTGACAAAACATACTTTATTAGACAATATAATTAGTTACTTCTAAAACGCTGACAAGTCTTGAAAATAAACAAAATCATGTAATAAATCCTTACTTCCTTACTAATATTATAAATGCGAAAGTAACTCTGTCTCTCTGTCTGTCTGTCTATCTCGCTTTCACGCAAAAACTACTGAACCGATTTAAATGAAATTTGGTACACAGATAGTCTAGACCCTGAAAAAGGACATAGGCTACTTTTTAATGCGAAAAAGGGTTGTAAGGGGAATTGGGGATGAAAGATTGTATGGAAGAATCGTCATTTTTGAAGCTAGAAGGTTGAAACTTATTTTTGAGGCTGCTAATTAAATATAACATATAAAGTTTTTAAAATGTTAGCCTTAAGGGGGTTAAATAAATTAGGGGATAAATTTTTTTATGTAAATTCGTTATTATTGAATGTAGAAGATTGAAACTTATTTTCGAGGCTGTTGATTAAATATAAATAAATATGACATACTAAGTTTGTAAAAATGTTATCCTTAGGGGATAAAATAAAATAGGGGATGGAAGTTTTTATCTAAATTCGTCATTTTTGGACCTAGAAGCTTGAAACTTATTTTTGAGGCTGTTTATTAAATATAAATGAATATGGCATTCAAAGTTTGTAAAAAATTACCCTTAAGGGGGTAAAATAAATTAGGGGATGAAAGATATTAGGTAAATTCGTCATTTTTGAAGCTAGATCTATGAAACTTTTTCCATTGGCTTTTTTGGGTTAGTTTATAAAATACCCCACTAATATTATAACTGTGAAAGTAACTTTATCTGTCTGTCTATCAATTTCACTTACACGCTAAAACTACTGAACCGATTTAAATGAAATTTGCTACACAGTTAATCTAGACCCTGAGAAAGGACATATTCTACTTTTGAATGCGATAGAAGGGTTATAAGGGGTTGAAAGAGTTATGTATGGAAGTGTCATCATTTATGAAGATGAAACAATGAAACTTTTTCATTTGGCTTTTATTGGTTAGGTCATTCAATATTTTTTTTTATATTTAATGTCACTATTTTACGCGGACGAAGTCGCGGGTACAGCTAGTTTATTAATAAAATAACAATCAACAGATGAAAAAACATAGTCTTTTTTCATTATTACGGTTACTACATATAAGTACTCCTAGCAAGTACCTACAGCAAGAAGTGTGATATAAACGATTAGTTAGTTCGAATAGTCAACACTATAATTACAATAAGGTAATATTTAATTTTAGGTGTAAGCAAAACACAAACTACATTTTAGGTTTTGGGAGAATTACGCCAGCCATTCGATTTCTTAAAAAATGCATATTTATTGTTAAGTAGGTACTATAAACCCACAACTTTGTGGAGATGAACAGATGGTCGGATGTTTGTTTTTCTTCAAAACAATTGTTCCTAGGAATAAACAACTAAATATCTTATTGTTATAGATATACAATAAACTCCTAATGTATTATTACAAAAAATATTTCTTTTAGAATATCAAAGCCGGTACTCCAATGGAGGTAGTGATCTCGGGCAAGCAAGCAAACGATACCATCAAAGGACTTCTGCTGCAAGCTCGACAGGGTAACAATATTGTGGGCACATTCAACGTCGCTCCCAATGATCCATTCGCCCAGCTCTTGGACTGTGGGACTCCTGGTGTAAGTAGAACATAAACCTACTGGTTTATATTATCAATTCTACATTTTAATAAAAAAACTGTCATTAAAAGTACATGTATATAAGAATACACATATAGGAAAAAGAACTAACTTTAAGGAACCAACAAAGTACATAAACTACATTTAACACCCGAGGCGGGGCTAGCCCTGAATTCACATAGAAAAGATGGAAATTATGTAGCACTATAATATCGTAGCGATGTCCTATTTTGTCTATAATATACTATATCTACTGGGGTATACATTGTAAACCCATTACAAACGCCAATAAGTTTCCTTTGTAAAAAGTATTTGGGTTTAAGGTAATAACAGTATACGTAGGCATTACACCTTGGTTTTCCGGAAGAGTAACGCAAAAGTGGCATCAAGGGCGTCATATAATGACACATTATTAATGTTATTTGTGATAAGAGACATGACATCTTAGTCCTCTGGAATTGCGACACATGATTAGTAATTCGGGTGTCACATAATATAACGTGTCCGCAGTGCTATTCATGTGTACCTACAAGAGACGGTAATCGCTTACCATGAGTTGGGCCGTCAGCTTGTTTGCCATTCCAGTGACAAATCAAGAGTTCTTATTTTATTTAAGTAAAATTCACTCTACTAGCTCATATGTATATAATTTTTTGAAGCAGAATTTTTTTTAAAATGAACTTAATGTTTTCTGAGATTCTTTATATTAAATAAAAAATCATCAATGACGCCTTTACATTGGGATCAGGGATTCTAGGGTGCTCTGTAACCATAACCGAAACTATCGGATATCCGATATAAAAATATATTCGTAACCGTAACCGAATCCGAAAAAAAAGTTACGGATAATATCGGATAGGGGCGGAGCCTAATTGGGACACGTTATGTAACTTTTTTACTTTTGAAATTCCTTAAAAAATAATATCCGTAACCGAAATTATCCGAAATAATTTCATATCTGCATCCTTATCCGGTATAATAATCATTCCGAAGCCTATCCATATCCGAAATTTCATACCCATAACATCCCTGATGTAAATGCAGAATTTTCTAACCGACACCCGGTAAAGGACTGAAGGGAGAATGGCGGGACTGTATTTTTAGTACCCATGTTACAAGATAACTTCGCATATTCTGATGGTTTTATGTTATAATTATTAGGGTTTATTTATACATTACATACTAATCTTAAATATTTAAAAATATACTTATTTCAATGTAGACAAATTAGGTAGGTACGTTGATCGGTGTCATGAAGGACAATTAACTTGTATGCATCGGCATCAAGTCAACAAGGAACCTTTCATAATTTATTAGAAACGCAATTCCAATTAACGATGACTGTAAGGAACAATTGTAATTACCTAAGTACCTATTACCAGGAAAATATGTAGGTAAGTTGATGCATAAATATCTAGTTCTTCTTCTGTGTGAATGCAGTATTCATTTGATATCATGCATCATGACTCATGACATGACATCATGAGTCATTTGTTAACCGTGAAAAAATGAAAAAAAAAAGCTTGTGTATCAGTATATAAATAATATATATAACCTAAATGAAAACAAACAAGAATTTTCCTGGTTCTTGATCTGATTTACTGAGATATGCCGTCACGATAAGCAAGTATCATTTTAAAAAGATTCCTATGAAGGAAATAATTAGCAAAGTAAAGGCCATTTATAGAACTTCCTCAGAAATTAGCCACAATAATGTTATGTTTTATTACAAGGAACAAAAAATTAGGTAGGTAATTGTCAAGGAAACCTTGAGTGACAAAGATTTAATAAGAACTTGAGTTATAAGAATTAATAACAAACAATCGTGTTTAAGAGTTTTAAGATTATAATTAAGATTAGGTTTTCTTAATAATCTATTATATTTGCTATAATAAAATTGAATTAAATTTTGTTTGGTCTAAGTAGGTACCTACGTATTTTGGTTTGGTTCAAAATTGTTATATGAATATTGTGGTTGGGAATCGCCGTATGCTTATCTGAATGTTATTAAATTAATTAGTTTACTTTAAATTTATTTCCCTAGAGTATATTAAAGTCTATAACAGGTGAGCATACTGATAAACCAGTAGATAGTACGTGAATCATATATTTATATGTACCTACTACTAATAAAACGAACGAACAACCAAAACAAGGATAAAAAGAACTCCTAAGTCGAAGAGTTCTTTTTATCTTTATATTTGATCTCTTTTGTGTAAATACATACAATGAATACTAATAAAGCATTTATTGGTAGCAAACATTTATTAAAATAAAAATGACCCCTAGAATGCATACAGCATTCTAGGTGTCATTTTGACGCAGTCAAAATACATTGCACAAACCTTCCATAAATTATATTTTAAAGCCGTATTACTGCTATACAGCACCGCTATAAAACAAAATTAGTTTCGTGGTTTAGAGAAGTACTGAGATTATCTCAGGATCAAACGCTAATGGATATGGGCGTTATTTTTATATATTTGTCAGCTTATCATAATAAAAGTAATGTACCTACGCGTTCAATACGCACATAGTTCATATTTTCTTACGTGACACAATAGGTTTAAGACCCGCGCCATTCAGAAGTCATCAATTGCATCACTCAAGGCTGAAGTTGTGCGGTAAAAGGTCGCAGATACATTGATTGATTACAATGTCTATCGAATGTACATAAATTATTCTAAACTAATATTGAAAAGAGGAGGGAGTAATTGATATACTAAAAAATATATTGATTTAAAAAATTCTTTCACATATATTAAAGGTACATTGTCAGGAAGTAGCTTGGACTGTATATTATTAAAAAGAAACTAGAGTGTCTTAAAAAATGCAGACCAGCAAGGCCGGGCTGCACGCTAGTCCTATTAATATTATAAAATCGCCAGAGAGTTTATTTTGTTTCACCGACCAACCAAAAATCATGAAGTTTAACATACCTACTTATATCATCTAGGTTGGAGAAAGATAATATATGTAATATACTTTTCACCTCGCCAAATTTTCATCTCATTTACATGCTACATTTCTAACATGACAATGAATCTAATTTAAAAAAGTTTTCAAGGTATCTTGATGAACGAAACGAATTAATACAAATTAAATATTTTATTTCATTGCAATAATTACTCTCATATGAATAAATATAAAAAAATCTTATTTTGGATATTGGTATCATAATTTCAGTGCAGCGTTTAAAATATTTTTTTAGAACAGACACTGATTAGACATCTCATTTTATCGGTTAAATAATCGCATATCGGAATAAATACTATACGCAAATTGAAAAATATGAGTAGATATAACAAAAATATATCTACCTAATAATATGAGTGTTCTAAGTAACAGAGTTATGATAGACAGACTAATAAATTTCACATCCACCGCTAGTCCATCAAAAAGCAAACTATACCTACATGTATATTACGAGATTTTATCCTTCTAAATATCTACACGATAATTATAAGGATAAAATCATATCTGAAACAATTTAAACGAGTAAATTATAAAATATATAAGGTATGTACATAATTGATCAGGAAAACTCAACAATTATTAGGTAATTCATTAAGAAATAGAGGAAAAGTGTCAGGAGTGGTATTACCAATAGTGGTTTATTATTCTACCTCGGACAGCATCGTTTTAATTAGTGAGTCACATATGTAACTACCTACCTACTTGTATGTATCTAGTAGATATATGTACATATAATAAAAATGTAACTCAATCGCTATCTCTATATGCAAGGTACAATATAATATGACAAAAGTTATTTGTCAACATAAGAGAATAAAAATAATGATTTTTAGTAAGGGAGAGTGAGAGATAATCTCAGTAATTATTTATTTTGGTGCAGCGCTGCAGTCTAATGTGATAAGAATCTCTTAAAATTTAATCCTTATTTTGTTCCAACCGGTTAAAAACGAAAAGGAAATGCCAATAAATAAGTGTTGATTTATTTTATAAATTTCTATTCAAAATCTAAATTGAAAGTCATTAAAAATTTTATTTATTTCTAATAAATATATATACCTACCACAGAGCAATTAAGAACACGTATTATAAGATTTTAATCAAAATACACTTAACAACATGTATGGTAATGGTACTAAAAAACGAGAGCCAGGTTGGCTTTCAATATGGTATGCAAAAATAGTAATTCAGATTATTTATAAAAAATGTATTTAGTGAATTTAGTGTACTGTGCAGCTTCATCTTATTTGGTTTTTGGAATACTTGCTTGTGAATATACAGTATTACAGCACTCTTTTATACAGTTTTAATGTATGTAATAGAAGTAGTGACTATTTCACTTAATAAATAACATGCTATTTAAGCTTGATTACATATTGTATCTAATAGGTACACACTGCCTATGCCATTCACAGTCCTTGACCTGCGATGTTAGGGTGTTGAACTGTCTTGAAATTGCAATACAAGGTTGTAATGAATTGTTGCCTTTACCTATACTTCCATACTTAATCGTTGTACAGAACAGCAAAGCAAACATTAATGTTATTAAATTCTAATAGACCTATAACTTACTTAGGTATACATGTAGATATGTATATTTATTGCTATTTACTTTGAGAACTGTAAATTGAGAATTGCTCAAACTAATATTTCTCGTTAAGTATACTAAATGTAAATAAACGAGAAATTGTATATCTGACTCTTGTTTTATCTTGTTTTACACTCCACAATATACTTTATTATACATATTATAAAATAGTTCCCTAAGAACCAGTGGAATCATAAAATAAATCTATGTTGTTACAAGCGTTTAGGTAGACTATTTTTGTCGTCTATTCTACTCAGGAATCTGAATCTCAATATAGAAATCAAATCAATCCATTTGTGTACTGTACCGTAGAAATGTAATCTAAATCTAATAAATCTATAACAATAACTTGAAATCGAATATAAAGTCACTCTCTGCCTCCTGAATTAGTTTTCAGATTAGACCAACTGATACAGATAGAATAGAGCTGTATTCTTGTAACTGAATCGAAATATTGGGAGTTCATTAATTATATTATCATGGTCACTGTCCTATTAATCTACATATAATGTGTTTAAAAAAAGTTAAACATAGTGATATTTAAAAAATCTCCTATCTAATCAACCACCATGTCACCAACCTGTGACATGACGAACTTTAGTTGGGTAGTTAAGTAGGTATTAAAAAAAAAGAAAAATTGAATTCAACATTTGATGGATTTTGTAACAATCTGTATTCTGTATTGTACAAAGTTTTTCATATAATATTTATTTACTTATTTCAGAACGCAGTGACACACAAAAAGCATGACGCTAGTTTAGATAAGCAAACTGTCGCTTTCACCTGGACTCCCCCAGCTGATTTAAATGGCGAGATTAAATTCAGGTATTCATCCATATTAAATATGTCGTAGTTGTCTGTCTGTTACCTTTTCATGACTAAGACGCAGGTAACCACTAGTATTCTATATAATGATAATAATAATAATGATATCCCTGGACAATACACACGTCACATAGCTCCAGTGTGCTATAGCAGGGCTTGTGTTCCATAGAAAACATCCAGACCGATACGAACATTCATACTTATGAATACAAATGTTTGCAACGAGCAAGGTATCGCATTATGTCACAAAATACCAAATTTATTTAAATTGTCCTTTAAACAAGTTTTTGTTATACTCAACAAAAATGTTAAAAAAACACTGTGTATGTGTGTAGGTATAGATTGAAATGAAGTTCCGATTCAAATTCACATACTCTAATTTGGCAAAATTAGACACGCACAGTACAAGCTACGTCTGTGCTAGTCTATATTAACTAAATAGTATTAAAATATTTACAAAAGAAATTTAGTATTTATATCAGTTGTCTAGTACCCATAATACAAGCTCTGCTTGGATTGAACCTAGACGGCGCTGTGTACGCGGCGGCGGCGAATGTTATTATTATTATTATTATGACAGATATAGTTACACCATTCATAGCACAGTCGCTTGTTTACCATTTAAAAAGTCTGGTGTAAAATAACTACTTATACAAAATCCAAAACTTATAATATTACCTCTTTCATATTTTCAGAGCCACCATCGCGTACAACGGTGGAGTGTTCTGGGTCGGCGTTGAATCAGCCCCAGTCAAAGTGATCAAATAAATAACTTTCATTCTTCTTTCTTCACTACCTTTCTTTCCTTATTTATATTAGTTTTTTGACATGATATATGTCAGCATCTCTTCCTTTGTATGGTCAATAAAAATTGCCTAATCTATTCTACCTGTTTAGGTATTCTTGCCAGATATGGGTGTAGATTATATGTCATAATTTAGATCTATACCTATATTGCTTCATAATATTCAAACCTATATTTTATTTTATTTTGTCTTGCTTTTTCTGCTTATTATGTTTAATTAGTAATAAATAATAAGAATTATACCAACATATACATTTTATTTCAACATTCTCAATTATTCCTTGTCCTGGATCAGCTTAGGTCATTACGCAGGATTAAAAATAAAGGGTAGGTATACGTAACAAATAAACTAATAGAATATATACTCATAAAATTATACGATTTTTATGAAAAAATAAAGAATAAAGCGACGATAGCAAGAGAATTATGTCGTACTCGCTATAGCCAGGCTTTGTGGTTAATAAGAGTTATTGTCGTATTTTTGGTGCCTTAGTATACATAGGCAGGTAATATTGGTGTACAGGAGTTTACTGCAGGAAAAAAAAAATTGGGACTTCGTATACATCAATTTCCGTTGGTAGAACAGTTCATCTAATTCGGGCGCCAATTGGCTTGCTTTAAACTGTTTTGTTTAAAAGAGTGTGATACGGTGATTAAATGCCAAAGGGCCACATGACGCAAACGGGAAATTTTATGGAAGAGCTCATCAAAATTTTCACTGTCATATTATTACTTTTTTTACGAATCTAAAGTGGTATATCTATATGTTAGCTCTAGAATCATGGGTGTCTTTTTTTAATATAAAAATTTTAACGATTTAGATAACATTTTTGGAAAAAAAATACTTTCAGTTTTTTTTTACGTTGTGGCCTTTGGGCATTTATTCAGCGTATCATAATAGGTTATGACACCTAAAATGGCAATTTATCCGTGATATCCATAGTGCTGTGCGGCGTCAGTCCATTTACCACCAGGTCAACGTTTGCTTTTCTATTAAGGGGTTGGTCTATTACTCGGTGCTTAGACCTGTAGCACTTCCACCTAAAGAGATCTATGTGCTCGAACTTTTTTTAGAGTTCGCTGCCTAGGGCCGTGAAAGACAATAATTGAAGAATATACTTTAGGGCGTTTTTATCTCTTCAGGACACACTAACTTTGTGTTAAAAATTTAGCGCCTTCGGTACAATTATATATACTAGGGGCCCGTCCCGGCTTCGCACGGGTGAACATTTTTACTACATTTTACATTTTTATCTGATCCTACCTAATTAATGGACAAATTTTTTTTTATATTTTTTATATTATCCATGAGAGAAGCACTCTTTTCTTAGGTCGATGTCAATAACCGAAAACGTTCGTCCCTGTGATTTAGTTATCGTAAGTGCAAACGATATCTTCACAGGAAACTGTAACTTTTTAAAAGATATAGGTAAATCCGTCGGAATCATCGGGATTCGCAAAAATTTCTAAATTATGGACCATTAGCCTCATCCAGAAAGATATCACGATTTTTGTTTAAATTTGGAGTGGGAAATATTCTTTCCCCAAGTTTAAGCAGTTGTTATGGGAAATCACTATCTGTAATTCCATGAAGATGAGCGCTCATATTCGTCCGTAATTTTAAACTTTCAATTAAAGATCATCTGCTCGCATACCTACGTTAATGACAGGGAGAGTCTGTCGGGTATCTCCAGCAAATACAAAAGTAATCCCGCCCGTGAGAGCAGAGGTATTTCTAAGATCTTTTAAGGCCATCTACCACGGCCTCTATCTATATGTACTCTATGGCGCATTCATTCCACAAAGGCATCTTGTAGTAATTTACCATCAACATACAATCTTGTAGTAATTCATCAGTAATTTTTTTCCATGCTTTAAGAGAGGTGCAACAATTCCTGACGAAGTAACTGCTTTCGCTATTTTCCCCGATTATCATAGTATTCGTAGTCCCGTAAGCCAGTGACGCCCCTACATAGCTACATTACATACATTTGATTTATAGCTAACCGAGCGGGGTTTTTTTCTACTACTTACATTTTTAAATACGTGATATCTTTCGAATGGAATGTCCAAATTGAATAATTCAAAAAGTCATACTGAACTAGTCGTGAAGATGAAGTAATTTATTTTGATAAGGATTAATAACAAGTTACAGATAAAGGGCTTATTCTAGCGGCGGGATTTTAGTTAAATTTATAAATTAAAAGAACACTTATTGTGACATAACTATAATAGTTGGACACATGCCGTCGGGACACTTTTTGTATATAATGATGTGTTCTACAAAGTCGTAGTACATCATTTTGTTCTATCATCAATACTTTTTGCAGCGCCCGCGGTGTTAGGTATTGTTTATGTAATATTTTTACACCTTGGGTTACATTATTAGAGTTTTAGTACATATCCCTAATTTTTTTGGAAATATAATATAGCCTATGTTACTCAGGGATAGTGTAGCTTCCTAATGGTGAAAGAATTTTTCAAGTCGGTCCAGTAGTTTCGGCGCCTATTAATTACAAACATACACACAAAAATACAAATCTTTCCTTTTTATAATATTAGTATAGATATAAATATACCTAGAGAAACGAGAGCATGTCAAATGTTGCGTTTACCACGTCGATGGTTTATAAATGTTCTGATTACTCTACCTGCCATAACAGCCGTGAAGATATATATACGAGTATAATAAGTAATACATGTTTCAATTTGAACAAATAGTTTATTCAAACATAGCACCTAGAGATTTTTTTCGAGATCTGTTTACAAAAAGTTCGTTTTAATACATAAGTATAGTTATACAGATACATAGACTTATAGGAACTAGATTACAATGACATATATAGTAATATCTCATGAAAATTGTTTTTATGTATTAGGCCGGTAAAATCAGTTTACATCTGAACTAAACGACAACAAGTTCATTAATTTCGAATATAAAATTCCAAATTTAAATCTTCATTACAGACGTAATTTAACAATATTCAAAGAAGCATGTTGCCATTACTAAAAACATTTATATGATAGCTATACGCACGCATAATTAATTAAGATATGCAACGTTCACAACTCTTTGAAAATGCTTTAAAATATCATGTGCGCATCCACTTGATATTTAACTAATCATTTCTCATATATGTCCAACAAATAGGCCATTATTAGAAGCCTAACAACTCAACTAAAGTAACCATACACATACCTTTGGTAATTTCAATGAGATTTCAACAATACTGCTATAGATTAATATAATAATTGGTGGACAGTAATGTAAATGGTAAGTAGTGGAAAGTAAATGTACATGACCAAAAAAATTATTTATGCTATTTCATCTATGTAATAAACGTAAAGTATTAGATATGAGATTTGTGAATACGATACGAATGTACCTACCTATGTGTATACCTACAATAATTTATACACTATTGTATGAATGATAGAAGATAATGGTTTACCACAATTTAAAAAAGCGCAAGCACAACAATTAATTGCATTAATGTTAATGAGATTTCATTTGGTCTGTATAGAACCGAAAATCGTTAAGAAGCTTAATAGATTTTAAAATACATAAAAGTTGAATTATTATAATGTAATAAATGTATTATATTATATGACGTATAAGAAAAGGATATCTTAAATATAGACAGAATATCAAGTAATTTTAAAATTTTCTTCATGTTATTGCACTAAAAATAAACGTTTTTAATGAAAAAGTATCAATTCTCCCTCCTTTCTAACTCCGAAAATAAAATTCTAGTCACACCTTTGGATTCTTGGATATGACAATGATTCATAATCCTTTGGACGAATTGTGACTCATTGACTTTACAACCATAATTTCTATTTTTCTTTATGCATGCATATTATATCTACATTGTTACAAATGCACTTACTAATGATGCATTCAGTACCATTACAAATTAATGTAGATCTTATCCAATATATTTCTTAATGGAATGCCTCCCCTACCTCCAACAAGCTCCGAGCAAATATATATATAAAGGTAAAATTAAGTAGCGACGCGTAAAAGTCCATGATAATGGAAAGTATAGTTCTATGCAACAACAACACCATAAGACAAATTACAGTGTGGTGCAAACCACACCATAATTTGTCTAGCGAATACGTTAGAGATTTGTGTTGAAACATTCCAGATAATGTCATAATCAGTACCAGAATGTTCAAATATTCAGTTCTAACATTTCTTCGAAAACAAATTTGTATTTCTAACACTTCATACTTAATGTGTTTGGTGTACCTAATGTTTTGGTCATGACTTTGTTATGGCAATTACGCTTAAAACTGGCGCGTTTTAGGGCCGGAACAGTTCGCCGTTGTTATTGCAAATGACACGGCAGTTTTCTCCACTTCATACTTTTATAAAAGATACTACTCCGAGCTAAAAGGCCCGTTTTACATTAAACAGTCACTTAGTGTTTTAGTGCGGTACTTAATGACTCGAAGTTTAATACCAGTATTTTATGTGTACCTTCAATTATACTAAAGTATGTAGTCAGAGTTCACTATCACATTTTTCATATTCTTATATAAAATGTCCATGCACATAAATGACAATTTTTAATAATGTAAATCGGGCATAACAAAATTTAACAATCTACAATACAAAGACATAGTAGTGACAATGGAAGATGAATCAGATCACATACACTAGATAAGGAGTCTGTATGAAACAATGAACACATTTTTATTATGCTTTATACTAGTCTAAATGTTAAATTAGAGAAGCCTCTTCCAAATAATCTATTAAACTATAGGTGGTATTACATCTTTTTTACAGATAAATATGTAAAACGAGCAATTCCCAGTACATATACATATAAAAACATTAATTGATCTATTATAATATTATACTATTAATTCCTTCATTATGGCCATTATTAAATTACAAAGACTATGGAATGATATATAAGTGATAAACAAAAGGAATATATTCTTAAAAAAATGTATGAAATGTTACTCAATTCCTTCCAAGTAATTATTACTTGAAGGAATTTATTTTTTACTAATAATGTCAAAAAGCCCACAATTTGTATTTTACATATTTCTAATTACCTTTCCACCATCAAAATCTAATTCTAATTAATGTCAAAATTGGTCACGAGATTTTTGACAAATACAATCACCTATCTCCTTTAAGTAACAATTCAGGGCAAGAAAGTAAATTTTATTCTCACAAAAGATTAACTAAATAAATGATGTTAACACAGTTACTATGGAATAACTACCTAAGTTACCTATCTAGACACAAAAATTTTGATACATTATGATTAACATAATCCCTGTAGTTGTAAAATTAAAACAAATATTTTAAATATTATTTAAATTAGTCCTTTAGTAATAAATTGCTGGCAAAATATACTAATAAATAAAAAAATAAAATATAATTCTATTAAACATAAATCACAAATTAAATCTATTAGATAGATAGATAAAGATGCAGCTCAGTGTACTGAAAACTAAATAATATTTTGGTCTAATTAAATGCACTTCTATTAAAGATCTTATTAGTACACCTTAATATTTAAACATCACAGTTAATACTGTATAGATAATACATAAATACTTTACAAATTAATTAATAGGCTATCATTGGTGCTGTATGAAGAAACATTGCCTCTTCAGTTGCCTGTAGAGAGATATATATTTACCTGCAGCTGAAGTCCTCGGCACAACATATTGTTTACAAAATTGTTTTGGGTCCTGGGCTTTCTCAGACAATTCACCACAGTCCAGAGCCCGTAGGAATGCTAACACAAATGTGAAACAGTTGTGTCTCTCTTCATTGTATCTATTAGCCTCCCAAAGTGGACTAAGGCTCATCTGTGGAGACAAATATAAAGTCCTATATTCCTTTTTCATCAAAGAAAACATTATTTCAAATTCAGACCAGTTCTCTATAAGTAAGTATGTAGTAAGTGGAATAGTGAGATATTTATTCTGCTTAAATAATTTAGATACAATTCAAGGTAGAAACGCATCAGATATCTAGGTGTGGTCGAACAAAGTCAGATTAGTTAGCTGTTAAGGGGAACAAAGCATAAATTTGCTGGTGTAAGGAAAAGCTGATATAGAAATCCTGATATACATCTGTTGGTGGTTGATTTCTCACAAAAACAATTCTAAAGTAAAAAAATTATTATTGTGTAATAATAATATTTTTTAGGCTTATATTAGGAATGAAATAACTCTTTAGCAATATGTTACCTTCAACAGCACACTGTCCCATATTTCATTCCATAATTCATCAAACTGCTCCAATAATAAACACTGGTCCCATTCAGCACCCATGTTACAACTACTCCATGTCTTGGTAAGAGTGTCTACACCTTGAATACCTTGTTCACTGAACTCCACCACATAACCGTGAGAATTAGTCACTCCTATATGTAAATCTTTAGAATTGTAATAATCACTGAAATATGAATAGTGTTTCAGAAACAATATCTAATTGTAAGCAATCAAAATAATGGCTGCTTCCAATACTGGTATAATTAAAAAAAACTTACTTAAGAAAATCTCCATGAGTAGGTTTCATAACTATAGCTCTCGGATGTTGAGATGCTTTCACGAAAGGATATGGTACTCTGCGAAAGAAGTAGGACACTTTAGTAACATCAATCTGTTAGTAGAATTAAATGAGATGTTCATAAAACAACTTACCTGAACGGTAGCAAATTGTAATCATATCTGTCTAGTTTTTGTTGACACACAGGACATTGCTCTGGGATAATTGTGCAAAATACTTTATGATCACAATGGTGGAAACAAAGGATGCCTGGATCCATTTTCGATCAAAATTTAGATATATATTAATGAATATTAAAAGAATATGAAGTTCGAGAATTTGCTAATAAGCAACGAATATTTTAGATAAATATATAGGGATTAATAAACAAATAATAACCCTGCAAATCTACAAAGAATATCAGACAATTTCTTTTGTTCCACTTCACTTTTCACTTCACATCTTGCCGTTTCGCTCCGGTTAAACGAAGTGAAATTATAGGCAGCGAAAATGACTGAATGACATGACAATGACAGGCCGTATGACAGGTAATGATGTAATCTAAACATTCGGAATTAAAATAGGTATTATTAATTTATTACAATATCTGCATCTCATACCCAACCAAAAACATTGAATTACGCTCTGAATTATTATGAAGGCATAAAATATAAGAACGAAAAGCATTAAACTAAACTATAGAAGTTATAATGTAGGTATTTTAAATGTTACAAAATTTTAAATTGATATAATAATAATAATATAATAAACTCAGGACAATTCACACAGCGCCATCTAGACCCCAGTTAAGCTAGTTAAAGCTTGTGTGGGTTGTATGGGTACAAGATAACTGATACAAATACATAGATTTTTTTCGATTCCTTGTACGGCACAAACTTTTGTATTCATGAGTATGATACAAATTTGTATCGGTCTGGGTGTTTTCTATGTATAAAATGTATGTATGAATACGAATGTTTGTGCCGTGCTAGGAATCGAACCCGCGACCATCGGTCGTAAAACGGTGTGCTAGACCGCTAAACCATCAAAGTCGTTAAATAATCGAGCAATCTATTACAATAACAAAAATAAGTTTACGTTAAAGTCTGTTATTAGAGGTAGTTATTGTCAACTGTCAAGTGACAGCAATACTTGGCATATCCACATTTCTATTGAAATATTAGATTAATTAATTAATCCGACCTACGCGACGGCCAGTCCCTCGGTTTACTTTCGTTTGTCGTTAGTGTTTCCATTATCGGAGAGGTAATATAAATTTAAGCACAAATGCATTATATCGCCCAGATTCGAATACCTATATGACCTAACGATCTTAGTTGAGATACTAAACCTAGTGGTTTAGTATCTCGACGCCACGACAGTTAATCTTTACTGATATTGACTGACTCTCTGATGAATGAAACATCAATAACATATATATTATCTTATCTGTGAACATACCAAGATTTAACCGCAGTAGTACCTGCATATCAACAGTAAGCTCGCCGGCATGTTTATTATCCTTTGATGACTAAACGTTTGGAAGAACTGAACCGGTTTTAATAAAAATTTACGTAAGATAGATTAGTCATGATGACAGAGGTCGCGTTTTCTTTTCCTTTTAAATACTTTTTAAATAAAAGACAGTTACTGCAACAACGTTTACTTATGAATTGAATTGAACCATGAAAAAAATTGAATGACCGAATTGAACGAATATGGTACTATTCTATTTAATTACATTTATGAGTTTACGCATTTACTATATAAGTTTGAAAAATATTCAGCTATATAATCAGCCAATAAGATTTAATGTCTTCCACGCAAGCAGCGTGCAGCGTGCACTCAAGCAATCTATTTATTATAAATTAATTTGAAGTTTTTATTTAATGAAGTAGTTATTTGTCTTAAATTGATAGATTAATTGATAAATTACTTTATTCCATACGGAACAAAGTTAACAATTTCAACACTCTACTTCAATTATCCATTCACAACCTCTTATTTATCAATTTAACATTTCTTTGTTCTCCTTCGCCCACTTCTGTACCTACACGTAATAGGCTGCATAAACGATGAATCAACACCAATTTCACATTCTCTTTTATATCTGGATTTACAGGCCACATAAAACTAAATAAATAATAAATAAACATTTGTAATTAGTTGAATTTTTTTATTAATTTCAGTAGGTATGGCTACCCATTTTAATACACATTCTGTACGGTACGGTGCGGTTCAATTGATTAAAATTATATACCTATTTCTAAGCATAATATTTTTTTGACGCATTTTGTTTTAATTTATTTTTTTATAACATCGTCTTCTTTTACCTCTTCATCATCATCATGGTTTTCCTCAATATCTTCACCAAGAATGTGCTGATTCAACATTTCGATGATATCAGTCAGACGATACCTTAATAGGAGCAAATGCCGATTGGAATCATCAAGTAATTGTGGGTGCATTTGTTCCGTCAGAGCAAGTTCTATTTCATCGACAGGGACGTTTTTTGAATGCTCTTCTACATCCGCATGTTTTTCTAAGGCCTGTACTTCTTTAAGTTTATTGGGTTCTAATTCAGTAATTTTATTAAGCTCCTCTGGTGTAGCTTCTGATTCCAATGGAGCGGCCCGAGCCCGAGCAGCGACTACCAACACCCCGAAAATAAACTGTAATTTAACACAATAACAATTGTTCGTTTAAAAAGTGTTTTTACCAACCACAAATATAATAATCTTAATCTTAATATGTAATATTATATAATAATAGCGAAATTTGTAAGTATGAATGTTTGTTACTCTTCACGCAAAAACTACTGAACCGATCATGAAATTTTGTTCACATGTTCTTGGTGGTATTAGAATATATATTTTAGATTCGCATTGAATCTAAAATATATATTCTAATACCACAGCAGAGCCGCAAATAAAAGTTAGTAGACGATATTTTTTATTGAAATTTAACGCGGGTTAAACCGTGGGACAGATATTTATCTAATAATAGTTCTAAAACTTGTTGTAACGACGAGTAGCGGGAACATTTGCACGTATTTATTATATATTTTTCAATTTATTAATTAATATTTTTCACTTACCACGAAACACTTCATATTTCTTATATGATCTGAAATGGTTTATACTTACAGTTAATTGTTGCGGATCTTTTATATATTACTTTGGTATCATTATCGTATAATTCATTAAATCAACCACAATAACATGCATTCTAACATTATACAATTAAGTATGTAATGGTTTCTCCATTACCCATATTGTAGATAACAAATAGAATCACAGAAACCCCAACTATTTTCTAAGTAATTCAGCCATATTAATTGTATGATGGTTTTCCCTCAATTCATTTATGTTATACGTTTAATTGCAAACATACATGCCTTCACATAACATCTTTGGAGAGTCGATTAAAATATTATCTATCTACGTATATAGTTACGACAGTTAATGTAACAAACACTATGCAGCTCATTCACATCAATTATAAAATAGAATACAAAACACTTTTAATTTAAATCAAATAATTACTAAATGTATTTAATTTAAATTAAGCACTTTTAAACACTCAGTTATTTTTTTAATCTACCCCTCATTTAGAAAGCTGTCTTCATCGTCTTCGTCATCACAAGATGAACGTGCATGAAACTTGCGTGTTGCTTATTTAAATAATCGTTGTAACTTTAAATTTTTCAAATTAAATGTGTGTGAATACTAACTACCAACTAGTTAATTTAAGTTACCAACTAATTTATTAGAGTAAATAATAAATACATAATAAAATAAAATTAGTCGTAGTGATTAGAACAAACCAGTTCGTACAATTAAAATTATTATACTTAGTTATGTCTTAATCTATCCGGGTATCTATAGGTAATTGATAAAGCGATAGATTGGAAATTTACTTAACTAAGTAATAACTAAATTAATTAAGTTTGTGCTATTCACGTAATAGTCACTTTCCATCAGGTTTTTCATCTTCGTATGGAACAGTAGGTATTTGTTCCATAAAAATATGTTTACCGATCGCTATGAACTTGGCTTGTTACATGATATTGTGGTAAACACTGAACGGGTATTGATTAGGTATTATTTGTTTATTGAATTCTAATAATTCCTATGATATCTCCATACTAATTTTTACTATATTAGTCATCGTATTATCTTTGTAGAAAAAAATTACTCATTATAGTACTGGAGATAAAAAATATTATTTTTTATATTGACTGTTACAGCCCTATTGCTTTGAAATTCCTACCCATCACGCATGCACGACTATAGGTATAGTTAGAGTTATAAAAACATTTGATTTATTCCAACTGAGCATCGTTACAATACAGTTGCTATCAATTTAAACCATGTCATGCCAGTAGGTGCTTTGTTGGATTATGTCACGGTGTTAGAATTTTGTCAATAATTTAACGCTCTGAAGCAGCAAGCATCGCTTGTTACTATGGTAACAGCGGCAGTAACCACACCGCGCCCACGAGACCTAATTTTCGATCTACTGTGCTATACCGTGTTAAGCGGCCTTACCAGTGTAACTCTTCAACCTAATGATAGGACAAGTGAAACATCACTTATAAGGTAAGTTTTAATTTTTTTATAATTATGTTGCAATCTGGGAAGATAGGTATCCTCGCTAAATGAAAATCGCAATAGACACAATGTTACAATATGTGACAAAAAAACATCTATTAAAAAGAGCAACACACAAGTTTCTTGCTCATTCTTCTTGTGATGAATCTGCATTCCGAATGAGTGGTAGAATCAAAATATGACTATTATATGTATATACAAAAGTGCTTGTAATGAGTTTATTTGAATAAAGATTATTTCTATTTCTATTGTTAACTTCTTATTTTTTTTAACTAGTCATAAAATATTATATAAGAAATTAGTATTTTTTTAATTAAGTAGATAACTACATATAAATTTTGCAGATTTAATTTAATAAATATTGTTTTTTATTAACTTTTTTACTAATAGGTATAAGTATATAGGAACAAAATATTATTTTTGCAAAGCTTAATTTAATTTAACAATCTATATTTATATTTAGAATGAGACTTGACTGAAAATTGCAGCTTCTTAGGGTGTTATATATAAGTTGTTAAGCCTGATAATCGTCCTTTGTGATAGACAAGTGTCTATAACAAAGGTATTATCCTGTAGACCCAGTGCCTTTACTTAAAGATTTATAACTTTTTTTTTTCAAGACCTAATCTAATAAATTATACAGTTAATTTCTCTTAAAACTAGTGCTACCATTTGTTGTAAACTGAATTGTAAGATTACAATTAAGTAATTATTAACATAACACAATAACTCATTAAAAGATAATATATAAAAACAGTTATTACAATATCACTCTATGCCTGTATTACCTTTTTATAGATTAGAGCCTACTACACGCGAACAACTGATATCTGAGTCTCTTTTCCATAATGTTACCGATTGTTTTTACGACATTTACTAGTTCATTTATTATCTAGTTATTACATTCAGATTTAGAAAATATTAGGGTTGTTAGGCACTAGTTATTTAGATACTATTTCACTTGAAGTTGAGCTTTTATGTTACTAGAATGGAAAGTAAACTGGTGATAAATGGCAACAGTTATCTAAGTAAGTACATAAACAGCACTTAATTATATTATGATAATAATAATGTGATGACGTATGGCGATCTCATGCATTGCCATTTCGAAGGCCTAAATCATCATAGTCTCATGTCTCTGTACCCTGTAGTGGCTTAAATAGGTGAGGTGAGACAAAGAGGACACAGTCTCGACAAAGTCTACCTAGACTAGTATCGAAACATTTTGAGGACCTCTATGATCTGGCGGTTTAGCACACCGCTTTACTTCCGATGGTCGTGAGTTCGATTCCTCGTATAACATTTGTATTCATGAATATGATTGTCTGTATCGGTCTAGGTATTTTCTATATACAAAAATGGTATTTAAGTATTTCTATCAGTTGTCTAGTAAACCTAACAAGCTCTACGTAGTTCGGGACTCGATGGCGCTTTGCGAATTGTCATGGGTGATTATTATATTATATTATTTTAACATAACACATACAAGCTAGTAATCCGTGGCGAGGACATGCTATACCAAGTCACTCGTTACCATGCCATTAATATTATTTTAATAATGTTTTTAGACGAAACCATGTTTCTGCACATTGGCTAACCCCAGCAACAGCTAGATACCGTAATGTTTAGTGATAAAAGTGGCGCAGTTCGCGCAGCTTGGTGTATTCTCTTAGCTGTTAAAATTGTGACCGCTGGAATATCGTGTCTCAGTAATCCCTGCTTTAATGGCATTTGTATTGACGACATCAACAGGTTAGTTACTTATAATTTATATAATAAATTTATTTGGTAAAACGGACCATACAAGGTAGGCATAAAATTAAGATAAATATACAAAGTAAATACATATTAGACAATTAACAAATATATTGACACTTCTATAGGTTCTAATATTATAAATTTGATATAATAAGTGCCTGTTATCTTTTTACATCTAAACGCCTAAGCTGAGTTAAGCTTAATTAAATTTTAACATGAAGATAGATCGCACCACGTGAACGGACGTACATCATTTTTATCTAAAAAATTGTCGAGAGGTCGAATATATAAAATTCGTCAGGAAATTAATAAGTTAATAATAATGACTAAATCTAGGTAAAAGAAGTTATAGGCATAAGTCAGTATTATTGTATGGTAGTTCAGACTCTCTCTGGCTACAGAATTTGATATCTTAGGTATCCGTAAACTATTATTGATATGATATAACTAACATGATTATTTTTTTAATGGTATGGTGGTATCCACCTGCACTAATGGCATACTAATAGCTGGACTGTACACCAGCGAAGGATTATAGAATGAGTATAAAGTCAAGCATTTAGCACTTGTTGGCCAAATTACGATAAATTAACGACGATGATTGCAGGACGATGGACCTCGTGCATGTTGACGTGCCGTGGTACATTGCTAGCAATGAGATCACTAGTTCCCAATACTAAACGTCCCTTTCCCCCGCCTGATGACATGCTACATAATTTAAGCCATAAGCAATATATGGGTAACAAAAGAAATGAATATAGTAGGTTGATAAATGATCGCGTGGCGTGCCTATACATATATTTATATTATTAATTCATATTTTAATATATTTGATATAGCTACATAATCTAGCAGCTCATTATTACTCAGAAACTATGTCGTTAACGATTTTCGGTCGTCGACTGCTCGATGATTTATAACGTTTATGAAGGTTTAAATAGGTTGTTACACTTACATCTACTGTGATAACTCTAACTACCACATCAAAGAATATGAAAAAGAGATGAATCTATTTTTGCAAGTATTGCAGGATTAAACAGCAGCGCTGGACTTGTAGCAAAATCTTTCATGTGTCTCATAATTAGGAATCGGGTCATAAATTTCAGTTTTTAAAAAAACAGCACTTACAATATACAAATATCTTTTACTCCAGTTATATTGTGCACAAAGTAAGAAGATCTTAAAAATGAAAAAAACTGTGTGTTGTATTATGTTCAAACTTTTGACTGACTCCGCTGGTATAATGGTGTAGACTCAACTAAAACTTTATAACAGTAGAGAACTATTGTGAACCTTCTGAATCCTATTCATACTGCTAATTTTCAGTATTCTTTTACAACTACGAAAATGTAATCGACAAGTACGCTCAGAGAAAATAACACAATATAAATTTGGATACTTTAGAGTCTACTATCACTCTTATAACGTGACAACATGACAAATTAAAATACATGTATAATATAGAAATCCTTATATATTTCAGCACATATTCATGTTATTGTGTGGATGGATATACGGGGGTGCAGTGCCAAACGAATTGGGATGAGTGTTGGTCATCGCCCTGTCAAAATGGAGGCACGTGTGTTGATGGTATAGCGTCATACAATTGCTCCTGTCCAGATGGATTTATTGGTAAGGAATAGGTTTAAAAAAATTGTAACTACTCACAAAAAAATGGTAACTGTCTTTACAGATAATATAATATTACATACTGTCGCCAATGTACAACAATATTTGTAAGGCACCACGGATGTTTCACTATTTTATATAACCCTTGATAGCGCTCATGCCTTATCATTCAGGAGAAAAGATTTCGAGCCTCCGTCCAATCCAATAATTTCACTGCCTTACCTCACCTCTCAATCGAAACACAGCTTGGCGACGGCAACTACACATCTTACAAAGACTACCTAGAGGAAGATTACATAGATATAATAGTAGCCAGTTAGAACCGTAATTGGCAAGTGTAAATGCATATGATGGTTTTAAGAGTCGATATCTCAACTTTTTACCTACCACATATAAATAATACCTGTAAAGTCATCAAATTAAAGAAAATAATTATAATTCAGTTACTTCTCAATTAGGCATTTACAGTATAATACCTGATTTCGAAAGTCTTTTAACATCAAATTGTATAACTGATATATGTTCTATGTATATTAAGGTGACAATTGCGAGACGAATTATAACGAATGTGAATCGAACCCATGTCTCAACAATGGAACTTGTATCGACATGACCAATGGATACATGTGTTCGTGTGTGCCTGGCTTCTCCGGACACCACTGCGAGGTGGACATAGCTGTATGCAACACCACCGAGGAGGTCCGCTGCTATAACGGCGCCAAGTGTATCGAGGGACCAGGTTTTAAATTCTACTGCGAATGTTTGCCAGGTGAGACTGATATTTAAAAGATCAACAAATTTCAATACGGTTTATAGCATGTATGATATCGTCACCAATTCTCCAAGAATATATGCAATATCTGCAATTGAATAATATTATTATACGAGTTGTTACGACTAGAAATCGATATGATCATAAGATTCGACACGGTCCCTTAATCCATACCCCTCCGATCGATCCCCCGTCCAATTCAAACGGGGATCGATATTACGACGGCCTGAGTCGAGGTTCCAATCCCTAGTGATGTCCTCAGTCTAAAGTCGTATCCGGCAGGCAGGAGTTGACCTTCAGTCGCTCCATAAGTTCTTCCGCGGGTGTGGAGTGTCATTTGCACTCGCCCCCTAACGTCCGGTGAAGCTGTAAAGGCTGAAAAAAAAAACCCTTAGTCATGTAAAGTAAGCACAATAAATGTTATGTACCTTCGTGTATATATGATGTATTCATAGGTTGGGCTGGAAAATATTGTGAAGATCAAGTTGATGAATGTCAGTCAGACCCTTGCCAGAATGGTGGAATTTGTATCGATGTGCACGCTGATTATATGTGCGCCTGTACATTTGGTATGCATTTTTTTTATTTTTGTATGGTTATGTCAATGTCGAGTTTCGCTGAATTTCGTTGAATTATTTGGGTATATATTTACTAAACAAAACCCTTCAGTATATCTAACCCAATGATTATTGTTGAAAGATAAGTTGTGGATCCTAATCATTCACAATAAAATTGTAAATTCGTACACTGTCTTTGATTATACCTACAATAGTCATTTATATTTTTTTCCATTGGTCTATTTCAAAGCAATCAATATATCCAAAATACAGGTTATACAGGCAAAAGCTGTGAAGTACAGATAGAATTCTGCGACGAAAATTCTTGCAGCAACAACGCACTTTGCGTGGTGGAGGAAGGGATGCGAGTGTGTTACTGCGTACCCGACTACCATGGAGAGCGGTGTGAGCTTCAGTATGATGAGTGTCTCCTGGGACCAAGGTATTCAATTGTTAACAACCTATTAACGTTCACGACGCTAGGCTAGAGTTACCGGAATTTCTCTTCAATATTGAAGTTACGATAAAGAGTACTAGTTAATGGTAGGTAGAACAATTTAGAATATAAGAGGTATACTGATTCAAATGACTTGTTTAATTATTATTTTATTACGTTACATAGTTTTCCTCGTACTTTTTTCTTTACTCTAAAGCAATTCATGTGTTGTTTCAATTCAGAGTAAAGATTTGTGACATTGAATGATACTGTGAAAACTAAAAGAAAAAGCAACAGACAAAAATATCGGGATAGGGCAAATAAGAAAATTGTATACTTTTATAGATATCAAATTATAATATTGACAATATCCTAATAATTTCTACACCTATATAATATGGGGCGTAATTGCCACTTAAAAAAAAAAAGCTTGTATCTGAAGTTCTTATTATGCTTAATTTTAGATGCATGAATGGAGGTACTTGTATTGATGGTGTTGACAATTTCACATGCTCATGTCCCTCTAGACTGACTGGAACATTATGCGAATGTTTGATACTAGACGACGGTTCTCATGATTGTGAATACGTTAGTCCCACGCCTCTAACAGCATCTACTCAATCTGTCTTATTAACTACAATGCATGAAGAAGTAACTACAGATATAACTACTTCATACTCAATAAGCTATAACGATACCATTGCAAGAACAAAGACTACAGATACAGAACTTTGGACTACAGCAACAAGCGAAATGGCTACATCTACCACAACAGCCGAGATTACAGCCATAGAAAGTATCACCACAGTCACTGAAAGTTCTAAAGCAAACCGTAGTGATGAAACAACTGAAACACCCAGAACAACGGCTTTTGAGCCCGTAACATTAAAAGAAGTTACCGATACCTCAGAAACATCAAGTATAACGTTAGAATCAGATGATTCAAAAACAGAATCTACTACGCAGTGTCAGGAAGGCTGTGAGCAAACATTAACTTCTATTAAGGATATAACTACTACTGAAATGACTAAAGCAGATACTGTAATGACTAAAGTAATAGAAACCACTGAATTAACAGTATCAATAACAGATACGACTGCACCTATAACTGAGTCAACTATAAAAGAAACAACACCAGAGATAACGACAACGTTGAAAAGTGATACGACAACAGAGAAAATGTTTACTGACAGTCCTACTGAACAGCCAAGTACTGAAATTCTTACATCACACATACCTCTAACAACTGAAAGTACAGAATTAACAACAAACTCCGATAACACGACATACGTATATACCACTGTACAGTCAGAATGTACCGACAACGTCTGTAATAATAACGGCCATTGCATCGCTTCTCCGCATGGTGTCCGAGTGAGTATCAATAAGATTTAAGTATTATACTACTTATACTACTAGGTATTTATGTGTATTATATGGTTGAACTTTGTACTTATGTTTGCAGAACAAGTTGTGCAATATTTTATTAGTTAGCAGTTAAATTAATGTAATTTTATCTAGACACTTCATTTATACATTACATCGAATCTAGAATGATTTATTACATTAATCAATTTAACATTTTTAGTGTCACTGCAACTTTAAGTACGCTGGAAGATTCTGTGATGAGAAAATAACTATTTCTTCAGCTGCTTTTGGAGGCAATTCATATATAACGCATAAACTTCGTAATAGTACTTCCATTGATATAGAATTCAACGCTAAAACACTTATCACAGACGGACAAATAATGCACGTTGATATAGCTGAAGGAGTCTACATGCAACTGTACATGGTATCAGGATTGTTAAAATTTAAATTTTCTTGTGGGTATCAAACGATGCTTTTGAGCGAGTTGAAAACGTTTGTCAATAAAGGATATCCCATGAAGATTGAGACTACGTAAGCAAAATTATTGTTATTAAAAACTATGAACAATTTAAATTGTCAGCAACTTCACCAAAATAAAAGAATATTATCCTTTGTTTCTTGAATATGTTATTAAATAAGATTTTACAAAGGATTAATTAACTAATTAATCATAAAATCTATTTTTAAAAATCTTCTTGATTTGTATAATTTACTAGTTTATTAGAATTTACATTATTGAGCCTATGTCCGTGGTGTTCAAGTTAACAAGCAACAAAAAGATTTTATCATATTCTTGATTTCCTCATTTTGACTTGTAATTGTAATTATGCTGTTTTGAGTCTCTAACTTTAAATTATTACTGTTTGTTGTTAGGCTAGACTTATATATAAAAGAGCAACATTGTAATGCGACCCTTCGGTTGAATGACACGGTTGCAATGAGCGGAGGACAAGTTGCTAATATAAGTTCCATTGACCATAACGCTACTCTGCATCTGGGAAATACGCCTGATAACAAGGATTCTGATAATAAACCATTTATTGGTTGCATTAAAGATTTAATGGTAATAAAATTTAAAATAAATTTTATATTGTTTATTTAACTTTCTTTTTTTATAATACACATATAGTTTAAAAAGTAATTTTAAAAATATTGTCTTCCAGTGACACCTCATTTCACTGTACTATATATATATATTTTTAGACTAATCTTCAATTTAATTTAAATACCCTATCTACTGTTATTTTGTAAGGTAAATGGTGAGAACCGTGAAGTATTCGGTGATGCGATGGTGGCGGGCGAAGTAAGCGAATGCGCCTCGTTGTCGTGCTTGTCTGCGCCCTGCCACAACGGTGGCTCGTGTAGCGACTTCGGCAACACATACACCTGCTCTTGTCCCAATGGGTACAATATTTTTATTATTATTAAGCAATGAAATTTCTGACCATTTTTGTCCACTTAATGATCAATTTTACCTCATCCAGATTTGGCATACTCAAACGATTTTTAACGTTTTTATATAAAAATTACGTGTCACTTTGTTTGTCCGCGATGAACTCCTATACTACTGAACCGATTGCAAATTTGATTGTGTGCAATTTGTTCCAACTTGAAAAATAGGATAGCTTACATCTCAATTTATAGTCGCAATATTATTTATTCAAGAACGTACGCCACAGCAACGCGTGGCCGGGTCTGCTATGTAGTTAATATATAAAAATCTATAAAATCAAATTTAAACACATATGCGGGCATTTAGACAATGAGGTGAAGGTGAAATGATAATTCCGTTTTAAGTGATTAAAATAGTAAAGAATTTGAACCTGATGGAAAATTACAACTGTAGCTTATATATACAAGTATAAGAGGAGTATTAAGTTGTTATATGTTCTGTGATACCTTACATGGGTTGACATTCTTGTACTAAGTTGCTTGGTTGTTGGTATATACGCAGACAACTTTGTACAAAGGCTACAATGTTAATATTAGACCCACGAGCACGACTCGTCCGTTCCGCTTGTGAGCTGCTCGTATAATGCATTTTCTGTGGCCGAGTCACTGTTCATAGTCTGTATTTTGTGCCCGTGTGTGTTGTTGAAAATATACAATTTACGAGGAGTAAGTGTAATGATTATTTGTCCGCCAGCTGGATGGGAGAACAGTGCAGACAGTCTGTATGTGATAATAATCCTTGTGAGGCGGGTGGTAGCTGCGTGCGCCACCCCGGCAGCGGTTTCCTTTGCCTTTGTCCTTACGGGAAACACGGGATATTCTGTGAATACAGTGAGTGCTTCTTCAATATTTTATATAACTTTAACAACTAATGTAATTGTACCTACACATCCACCACAATTATGAAAGTTTTAAAAGTGGCATGAACTTCCTTGGCTTTATTCTATATCTCATTGGCTATGTTTACCGTTTTTTTTCTATAAACGTCTATAATATTAATCACGTCTTCTTTGTAGCTGAGACATGACGATCTTAACGTTATCAGTAATAAATTCGAAATTTCTGCAGACGTGGAAATAACTCGGCCATCATTAGCTCCAATTAGCACCGGCATATCGTCATACCTGCTGTACCCACTGTCGCCTGGTGCCGTGCACTCGGACCGCTTCGATCTGCGCCTGCGCTTTCACACGGCCGACATGGATCAAATATCGCTGTTAGCTTTCGTTGGACAAGCGGGGCGACACGACTCGCGCACTCAACATTTGGCTGTAACGTTCGTTAAAGGATATATTATGCTTACTTGGAACATGGGCAGCGGTGAGTGACAATTTAATAAAAAGTTGGTAACTAGAATGAAGGTTAACCAGGTTCAAAGTTTATAGCTGCTGCAAATGTAACCATGAAGCTGCTGCAAAGACCGTCTTCAGTATTGTGTTAGAATTAGGTGAATTGAATGTTATGTTGTATATTTAATAGGTAGTGAGTCAGGTATGTGGCTGAAACAGTTACAAAATTATAAAGGATACTTGGTACTTGAGTACCAAGAATATCATTTTAGTTGCACTAAACCCTAAATAATTTTTGTGCTGGACAAGAATTTATCAAGAGAAATCAATTTCGCTAAATTTACTATGCTACCTAAAATTCATGTACGATAAAATACGCTAAATTTAAAATTAGGAATACGGATATCGTGAGTCCGTACTTACTGTCATGACATTTACGCATTGTCGGTGGGCTGAAGGTCCTCGGCGCGTGTTCTCTGCTCGCGCGCTGTCAGCTCGGCGTGGAGGGCACGCGCTGCGAGTGTGGCGGCGCGGCCGCAACGCCGGCTTCAGCGTCGACGGCCGCCACAACGCCTCCGGTAACGCGCCCGCACGGGATACTCACATGACTCTCTTGCCCTATCTCTATATCGGTAAGTTAAACAAAAATAATACACGTTCTAACAATAGTAATTCAACCGTTATTTTTCAAATCACAGTTTATAATCAAATTTTAAAAATAAAATGGTGATGAAAGAGGACTATAAGGAATTTTAGGAATTCGTCTACGTACCCCCGTCTAACCTAGCTTTTACTTTTTAGAAGTTATAGTTTGTACTATTCCTTAAAAATAGCAACGCATAATTGCGGATCACTCAAATTGTACATGTAAATATAGGTGAGCAACGATTCTTTATGGATGATAAAGGAATGGTGCACCTGTCTGCGCTAACATTTTATGCTGGTGGGGCACCAGTAGAGAATGATGATAGAGCATGTGGTCAGGTCAGTTGGCCCATCGTGACAAATTCACCAGGAACTTATCATGACGGTTTCCAGGAAGAACCATCTTGAGGTCAACTTGACAACATTGCAAGATATGGGTTCAGTTCATCCACATTGCTCACAATCCCATTACCCCGATTTACCCGGGCAACATTTACCTACCATAAGGCAGAACGACTACTTGTTCTCAATTTCAGTTAGGTAACAAAAAAATATAGGCATGAAGCTTCTTTTAAGAAGGTACCTGAAATTTTCTGTGACGTTTGAACGACTTTTCTAATTATCGTCTATCACAAAATTGACAACATTTTTTATGAACAGGTGGCCACCCGTCTGAGGGATTCGGTGAACTGCCGCACGACTTGCCACTTCATAGCGGATGGCGCGGTTGTGTGTGGGACGTGTCCGGCGCGGTGTCCGGCCCGGGCTCGGCGGCCGGACGAGCGCTCGCCGGACGCGGCGCTGGACAATGTGGTGTCGCGCAATGTACTGCCAAGTCGTGCAGTGCGCCTAATGGTGTCTGTATACAGTCTCCTGCTACTTATGGGTATTGTAGTATATATAGTATTTGGTATATCTATGTCTAATATATAATCATATACATATACAATCTAAGTACGTATAATCTAAAATGTTATAACGTATTCTGTGAAGTTGATAGTCTGTATTGAAAAATGGCGGGAACGGGCAAATTAAATGTGAAGCGAATTAGTTTTTTATTCACATGAATATTTAAATACAGTACAAGTATAGGTACAATTAATAGTATTTTTAAGTCGGTATTTAATATCAAAATTTATACTTGTAGCGCGGTGGTTTATAGTAGTATTATGATGTGATTAGGTGTCGCTGCTAATTAAATCTAATTAAAATATGTGGAGACGTAAACAAATGGAAGGCTGCCTAGTGCTGACAGAAATATTCCAAATATAGCCACATATTAAATAAGCAATGAATAACTGAAACGACAATGATATTGATCAATAAAACAAGACATATCCCAAAACAGATCTGATGCTATAATCTCTGCTAGTATTACACTCCAAAAAATTTACACATTAAACACTTTTTAATTCAAAACTACTTGAGAACTAATATTTTATTTTAGATGCATTTGTAACGAAGGCTGGTTCGGCCCAACTTGTTCGTCCAAAACAAATCCGTGTGATCATTTTGTATCAAAATGTCAAGGAAGATGCGTCATAAATACGAAGAACGAAGCGCAGTGCGATTGTCCTTATGGGAAGACTGGGACAGACTGTGATCAAGGTAGGCGTGCAATGTAAAAATATTTTAGGTGTTTATAAACGATTCCTACAATACAAACCGTAATTTATGTATAGTTTTAATACTTCGAGACTTTTCTCTCTTACGCTGAAGAGACTAAACTGACATATTGTGTTCGCCACTTTGCTTCCTAAAACGTGTTGTGCATGTAAAAATGAGAGTTCATATATCCTAACTCCATCATCCATCACACAATAATATTTCAGTGATCGAATCTTTACAATCGTACATTGTATTGTTCTAAAGTTGCAATTGTGGAAAATTTGTATTGTTACCGAAACTAAATAACAATCAAATACTATAATAGTAGAATTGTGGTCACTATGTTCATACCTTTAAATTCAAATAGTAATAGATATGTATTAATAATCATGTAGGTACCTACAATCTCGTTTCAGAAGAGTTAGAATTGAGTTTCTACTTCATTTTATGATTTTATGAAAATACATTCCGAAACTTGATTTACTTGTATCTCAAGTGTATGTAATAGACCTACCCTACTAGTATAAATATATCTTAATTAGGTTATTGTGTATGTTTCCCCAGATCTGATACCGACAGACGTCCTGTTCACCGGCACTAGATCCTACATCAGGCTGCATCCTCGTACGATATCCAGCGTCAGTCTATCACTGGAGGCCGAGATCAAGCCTTCCAAGGAACGTGGTCTGGTGTTGTTTGGGCTGACTCCGCACTTCTACACTACGTTGTCGATGCAGGGTGGCCTGTTGGAGTATAGATGGACAGGTTAAAATAATTTTCTTCTTTTTAATGCGCAATCAATCGTACTTTGTATTATATACTCATTTATTTCTACTCCTAAAAGCTACTTCTATTTCTACTGATTGTTGTACTTTTCTTATACTTACGTTATCGGCGAAGTCTTAGCCAAATGAGAATTTGAATGTATTGTACAACTCTATAAAAATGTAAATCTGGTTATATTTTACTAACTTACATACTTTGTCATTACAATATAATATAATAATGATCAAATCAATATTACAACTAACGTCGCACACCGGCTTCGCTCGGTTACTAAAACATTATATTATTCACGCCTGCAGACAGCATAAAAAATCTCTTCAGTATTTTTTCAGATTATAGCAAACTTCAGATAGGATACGGCGAGGAACTTTTTTATAACATGTATAGAATTTTTCTAAAACATAATAAGACTGTATCATCCACTGTTGTGTGCCTTCAGATCGTCTGTCAGGGATGACCTCTCTGGTGCGAAGTGGGGTGGTACTCTCCATGTCTCAATGGCATAACATAAAGGCGGGCCGATACGGCAGCCGGCTGTACGTCTGGGTGGACGGAGCACTCAGCACGGAAGCCATGCTCGCGCATGCGTTCCCGCACACTGCCAGCAATGCTTCTATACATCTAGGTAATCTTGGATGTGATACATATACCTTTTAATGAACATTTGATTTGATACATTTTGATGTACAGAATGAGATTATGCGAGCCTACTGCCGTCTTCCGGATTAACTTTGGTTTGTTGTCGGTGTTTTTACAGTTTAGTATGTCAGAAATATAAATGTACACATAAAAGTTTTTGGTGTTAGCCTGGTATCAATTTGAACCACAACGATAATAAATTTGACTTTAATCATATAAAATTAATTAATGTATTGTTAGCTCTCTAATAAATGCTAACTACAGGTACCCTTTTGTACTAATTTGAAGCAAGAATATGCGATTACAATCAATCATCAACTTCCCACTTTAGGCTATGACAGCAGAATATAAACCCAAATTAATGTATTTTTAGGAGGTACGAACGATTTATCTACGTTGCCATTCGATGCAATGTCTGGACCGCCGGAGTCATTTACAGGCTGCATTAGAAATCTTCACATCAACAATATTTTACTGCCTCTCGAACCCCAGAATATACAAGGTAATAAGTTCTGAATTCTACAATATCGTAAAAATATTAGGTGCAAAAAATATATCACTTACTTTTGAGATATTTGTTAAGTTGCATACTATAAGTGTGCAACTTTTTGTACATAATAGTGCATTTACATGCACTATTAGTACAAAAAGATGTAAAAATAGCAAGGTAAAAGTAACAACGCCTTGTTGCTAAAAAGCGATCTCTTCCAGGCATATCATATGAACAAGTTTATTTATTTTGTGTTGTCTTGTTATTTTCTTCTTGGAGGAAATCCTTCTTGGAGTCCCACCCACAAGCCTTTTGGTATGGGTGGGTACTGTGAGATACTTACTCACTAAAACTCCAAAGTATCCCTACGAAGGGCCTATTGCCAGAGCACGGGGTCGTAATGACGTTCGTACGCGATTCCGGCAGCAATACTATCTTATCCTACTCTAGTGTAACGCAACGAACGCACTACGACTTGGCAGAAGTTCTTTAAGTTAGGCAATGTCGATATATCTGTTTTAGCGTCGTGAATAAATTTTGTAGAATCCTACGTCTCTAAAAAATAATGTTTTCCAGAGGGACGCAATGTCTTGGATTGCGACGGCACGGCGTGCGGCGGGGAGACTTGCGGCGGCGGCGCCTGCAGCGTGCAGGCGGGTCGTGCGCACTGCGCTTGCCCACCCAACGACGCCACTGCCACAGCTGGCAGCACCTCTGCACGCTGCCGACGCCATACCACGTGCTCACCAGCAAATTGCGCTCCACCTACCGGCATCTGTAGAAGAGGCACCTGCGTGTGCGCTACCGGATTTGCTGGTTTCAATTGTGAAACAAGTACCTACGTACTTCTATTGTTAAATTGGTTTGAAATTATAGCTACAACATAGTTATTAAAATCAGATATCTCCTCGAAGACAAATGGCCAGATTCTTTAGAACAGGGCAGAATGTAGAGCTTTATTTTCACTTGTACCAATTTATACATACCTCTTGTGCCTTATTTCATTTTACTATCAGTTCTCTCACCAGGCAAGAGATGATTCGATTCTCTGTGATAAATTGGAAATGTTATCTTTGCCGTACAAGCACTTTTTAAGGTTGGCATAGATAAGAAATTTCCGTACTAAAGCGGGAAAAGTAATATCACGAGATACTTTTAATTATACACGTAAAATATTTACAAACACCTACATTCTTCTAGGGATAAACATCACGATACCGCAATTCAGTGGTGAATCGTTTATGTCATTGGGTCGTGGCTCTGCCTCGAGATACAGCGGGAAGCAACGCGTAGTGCTCCAGCGGCCCGACTACCTCACACTAAACTTTACCACGGCTGAACTAAACGGGCTACTCGTATGGTTGGTTATGGTGCGTACCCTACTTTTAAACCGATTACAGAAATTACGAGGTTCCTAACTCAACTGCTGTTTATGTAAGAGAGGTAATTTCCCAAACTTGTGATTACACCACAAGTTGTTAATGTTGTAACGTTCCTTTATAAAAAGATCTAATTAAAAGTGTCATATAGGAGGGAAGAGGATTGTTAATAATGTAGACTGAAAATCTCAGGGTTCTTGGTCTGGGTTACCTCCACGCTATTCCCCCTGGAAACCGGAGTGGTAGATTGCTATTTGCCAAGATTGGCTAACTGACCTGATTTTATGTAGGCTCGCACCATTCCCCACTGGTGCCCTGCTAGCATGAGCGCAGTCACATGCATTATTCCATTAGCATTAATAAAAAAAACTGTCATATATATAAGTACATTGATTTTATATATCTTATTGGTATGAAAAATTGACTAATTTTATGAAACCTACTTAAAGACATTGAAATATCTTATCTCTTATATTTTACAGGACCACAACTTTATGGGTATAGGGTTAGAGAATGCTTTTCTCAAGTTAGTGTGGTCGTTTCATCACAACATCACCCAAGATTTACAGGAAGACCTCAGTAAAACATCCCGAATTGTTTCAAGATCGGTGCCACAAGCAGGTTTCCTATCTGACGGCGAGTGGCATACCCTTGTTGTAAAATTGGAGAAAAACAATATTGTGTTGATTGTTGACCAGGCATTGGCTTATGTTGAAGAGCCAGGATTAAATAGAGACGTTAGCTACGGTGATGTCAATGTATATATAGGTAAGATTCATGTTGTCTAGATTACTGTAAAAGACGTTGTACGATTTAAGCCCAATTTGTTAAAATTAGATGTATTAACTTTGAATTATAGGAATACCCCGCCCAAAATGAGAGGAGGGAAAAAAGTTAACAATGTATTATGTACTAGCCCCATTACCTGCACTGTGTCCTGAGCCTTCAACACGCTCTGGCCTGGAAACTATAATGACGACATTTGTGAATAGATCCAATTAATTCACGCCTCTGCATCATAAACACTTTTGTAACATGTGTAAATAACACTCTAATTAGGATTCCAAGAATAGACAGATCACAAAATCCTATAGTATTTACATAGGTAGGTACTAGTACAAGTGACTGTACAATTGTACATATTCACGACCATAAAGAAACAGTTTATCAATAATGATAAGTAACAAACATTCCTTGTAAGAATTTCCTTTAGACTTAGCTTGATCATATATTAGAAATTTCAACTTTGCAGAGTGAAGATAAATTAGATTAAATGGCAACTCTTTACTCATATGCATAAGTAACTCTAATTAAGTATACAGGTTTAAAGCTAGACTCCCAACGATATGAGACTTGACAACGTGAGAGAATGAGACAGTGGTATCATTATATATACCTATATATTACTTAATTAAGTAAGGTCCATTTCCCTTAGTAGGCACTAACGTCGTAACGAGCATTGTATTCTTACACTTTCATACCAAGCGGTACCTGCTCTTGCCTAATTTATTCAACTTTATTTACTTACAGGTGGCATAACAGAGGAAAATAGTAAATTAGCAAAGAAGTGGTTCCCAAAAAATTTCAAAGGCTGCATAGACAACATATCAACTAGTCCTGAAATATACGTAACCAATTATACAGATGTATATAGCGAGAATGTCAAATCGTGCCAACTATTCCCAATATAACCATACTGCTCGACGCCTGTTTGAGTTTGAGTCGTCATTTTGACTGAGTGAATACTGCCTAGTAAAACAATGAGCTAAATATTATAGAAGTACTTATCGATTTCAACAATAGCGGCATATAGTATACTAGTAGGTATATGGTATGACATAACATACCCATACTCATTCCATAATAGTATAACCCTAGACGACAGTAAGCTCACACAAGTCTTATGTAGTCAAATACTCATAGTACAAAGATTTTTCTAGTCTTCTTATCGGACCAAAAGTGTGTCTTATTAAATGTACTTATTTGTTAGAATTTTACTTGTATTTTTAAATCGTTTTAAGGTACTTGATATACTAATATTCTGCCAACGATAAAACTCCATTTATTATAATAAATGTGAGGTGTTGATTAAGTATTTTTGTTAATAGAGCCGTGAAGTAATTAAACAGTCGTCATACACAAAATATAGTTTTATTGATATATCCATGTTTAATAAATTGTATACATAACATCATCAAATATTATATTATAAACATATACATTTCGTTATACGTACTTAATACAAACACAAATACAATATGAGATGTTATCCCCGTTAATCATATATTTCATTAATTTTAAAACGTTTAGTCTCAACATAGCATAGTAATTTCCATTGTCATACATGTTCAGTACATGCTCTTACACAAAGCTCAGAAACATCAGATTTATTTACAATTTTTAATATTTAAAGCAAGATGTACATTCTTTAAAAGTCGTAAAATTCGTTAGGCCTATTTACAAGTGGAATAAAGTTGGAATGCTTGTCTGTACTACACAATTTCGTCAGCAATCGGTGTATTGTTTAGTGTCTAAAATCTCATAGGAACAATTAATTCCTTTATTGGATACACGACAATTACAGAAACACTATATATTTCTAAAAAATAAATATTATGTATTAAGCAATAAAGAATAAATAAATATTAATTGCACATTGTTATTATAAAATTTAGAAAATTAAATATTTGTTTTACAAAAGTAAGCTGTGCTTACCTTCAATAACGTCTTACAGGTATCAAATGACACATTGGAACAGTTGCCCTCAAATAGAAATAACCATAAAGCAGTATATTGAAATAGAGGAAGTAACATATACCTTAGGAATGTCTCCAATAACAATAATAAATATACATATAGAAATAATAGAATAGCTGATCACAGGAGAAGTAAATATTATATATTTACGTAATATAGACAACTATTGGATGCGTCAATGTAATTCCTTCCTATAATATAACATCAACATTAGTATCTAGTGATAGTTCAAATAGAATACTGAAACATTGAATGTGGCCAGTTCTAACTGCCGATAACAATATTCAGTGTTACTTATGATATTTCCACAATACTTTCAGACCACATATCTAATTAGTTACTATTACAAGATACCATGTTACTAGAACATCAAGTTTAAAATGGGAATCTCATACAACGGCATGACAATTTACTACTAACTTTTTTAATAAAACATATGATATTTTGCTAATCTAAAACAAAATTCATTTAATATAACATTAACTACTATATGGAAATCAATTATTAATTTCTCTAATAATGTCATTAACGTAATATAACGCCAATAATTATTTTAAAATATATTTGAAATATTACATTTTGGCGATAATTCCCTTGACAACTCAATAATTATGTCGGGTGGTAACAATCTCAATAATTCGTTAAATTCTAAATATATAAACAAATTACCCTATTCATAATATTAGGTATGTCATCAATTAAAAGTCATGCTTATTGATTAAAATGAAATAATAGACGGTGATAAAGTATGAGTAATATACACTTCACATTAATAATATTAATTAAGCATTCCGAGTTAATAAAATCGGTTTCAGTTTTCATGTTCCACATTTACATATAGCGATTGGTCTGTCCTGTGCGCATAGGGACAGTGTCCCACTAAACAATATCCTGTGGCCACTGCAGCACAGTACATGCGGAGAGCACAGACGTCGTAGGCATCAAAAGCGTCATGGAACATTTATATAATCAAAGCATTTATATGTAAAATCAGTCTCATTCGCATAAGGAAGTGATCACAGCACACACACTGGAAACTCGTTGCAGAGTGAGGGACCACGCCCCTCGTAACAGAACTTTAATCGTAGAGCACCTTTTATAACTTCTTACACTTAAATCTGAATAAAAACATGTAACAAACCGATTTATATTTTATAAAAAATATGCAGTATGGAAAACATACAGTCGTAGACTAATCAAATATTGGAAGTATACATCAATTATTACTAAAATAAACATTTACTGTTTCTGGTATATATATTAATTAATAATAGAATTTCGACGTTCCAGTACAGCAAATGAAATAACAAGCCACAGGCATAGACTAGATTATGAAAATGTGTGAAGTCAAAAGATATACACATGAAGATAAAATGTAAGACTTGCATTGTAAAATATACATTTAGAAATGGCAACTTCACACTTATGTATAGTTTTATACACTTAGTGAAATTATAACATTCACAGCAGTTCATTGAAATACCGTCCATGGTATGAAAACGCTAGTATGTTAGGCCGTAACACGAGCCCGCATCCAGTTGGCCAATACTATACTTTTAATAATAAGACATTCAACCATAACGGTGTAGTTAGATCTACAAGAGCATCATCCATCAATTTTTTAATAACTAATGTATCAAAAAAGGTACACAAAATAAGATTTCGTTCTACTAACCATTATATGCTGGTAGCACTTTACATACATTCGATATGATTATATATTTATCTACACAATATGTACATATAAATAATTTTCTTTTTGTGAGATTTCTAATGATTTTTGATTACGGTGTCGATAAACGAAACGACAAATCATTTTTGCAAGACTATCTAAGGAGTACAATTACTAAACAGATAATAAAATTTCAAATTGTACACACTCAGCACTCGAAGAATAGTATGAGGATTCGGCGATCATCTAGAACGAATACATAATTCACCCGGGCGGACGAATCGACCGACACTCCACTGGATACATCACATAGCGGCGCGCGCGAAGAAAATTACTCTAATATATGGACACGAGCGAGTCGCATTCTGGGCTGCACGTCGTATTTCTATACACGGAATCGGTAGCGACGTCGCGTCAAGTTCGCGTCGGGCGGGCGTCGGGCGAGCGTCGGGCGGGCGCTCACAGGCGGGCGAGCGCGCGGGGCCGCGCCGCCACCAGCGCGCGTCACGGCCGCGGCTCCATGCAGCGCTGCACCAGCACCGCCACCACCACCGCCAGCAGCACCAGCCCGCCCGCCAGCAGCAGCGCCACCTGCCGCGACGACAGCGCGCGTGCGCCCCCCGCGCCGCCCCGCGCACGCCGCGGCCGCGCCGCCGCCGCGCCCGCGCCCGCCGCGCCGCCCGCGCCCCCCGCGCCCCCCGCGCCCGCCGCCGGCGCCGCCAGCCGCGCGGCCGCCGACCACGCGCTCGCTAGCCCGCCGCGGACCGCCATCACGCGCACCAGGTACTCGGCGCCCGCCTCCAGCTCCTCCAGCTGGAACTGGGTCTCGCCGCCCGAATACACCTGCGGACATAACGCTCGGTCACCGACACGAATACTAATAGGCCGAAATATCGGCAGAGAAACAGAAACAGAAATTATGTACTCTATGCCGATAGCTTAAATTATAACTTGCATCGGAATAAACGAATTCAACTCAGATTGAATCTGTTGTTACTAAATGTTATTGTTAGTGTACCTGCTTAAAGATGGCATCCTTGGCGCGTGCGCACTGTAGCACGTAGTTCGCGCCCTCGATCGCCTCCCAGGCGACGACCATGGCTCGCGAAGCGGACGGCACCGCGGCGGGTGAGGCGGAGGAGGCGGGTGCGGCGGCGGGCGGCACCGCGTGCGCGGGCAATAGCGCGGGCGCGCGGGGCGCGGGCGGCGGGGCGGCGGGCGTGGGCAGCACGCAGGGCGCCGACCAGCCGCCGCGGCCGCCGCGCTCGTCGCTCGCCTGCACCCTGAACGCGTAGCTCGTCGACTCCCGCAGCTTCTTCACCTTGCAGGAGCGCGCCGGTCCGCGGTACACCGCGCGGAATTCCCGCGCCTCCGGCGCGCGCATCTCCACGCAGTACTGCGCGCCCTCGCCGCCGGTCGCGTTCCACTCGAGCTTCATAAAGTTATGCGCGACCTGCGCGCAGCGAATCTGGGGAGGCGCCGGCGGCATCGGTCGCGTCGCAGCCTTGCACTCCTCGGACCAGTCGCCGAGCCCGAGCTCGTTGAAGGCGGCGACGCGAACTCGGTAAACGGTGTTCGGGGCGAGTCCGTCCACGACCCTCTCGGGGGTCGGCCCCTCGGTCTCGTATGCGTCCGTGTCCACCTCGACGCGATATTTTAGTATTTCCGCCCCGTGACCGGCCGGCGTTCGCCAGTACAACCTCAAGCTGTCGGCGGTCGATTCGTGTCGTAGACCGGTCGGAGCCGCGGGAGTCGCCCGCGGCGTGAACACGTCGCGGACCCCCGACCATCCGCCGCGGCCGGCGGAGTTCGTCGCGCACACTCGGAAAAAATATGGGGAGAACGGCGCGAGCTTCGACACGAGGCAGGTCGTATCGCCTCCTCGGTACACCTCGGAAAAAGCGTCGTCGACGTCGGTCGCGCTCATCTCGAGCCGGTAGTCGAGGATCGAGGCTCCGTTGTCTGCGGGCGCGGCCCACTCGAGGCGCGCCGAGCGGGGTCCTTCAACAACAGCGGTGGGCGCGGGCGGAGCGTCGGGCGGCGCGGCCGCCGTGGTGAACTCGAGCGGCGGCGACTGTGGGCCCGCGCCGACACGGTTGGTGGCGGTGACCCAGACGCGGTAGCGGCGGCCGGGCGCCAGCTCGCGCACCACGCACTCGTTGGCGGCGCCGATGTACGCGAGCCGCGCGGCGGCCGCGTCCGCGTCCGCCTCTGCCACCTCGACGCGGTAGTCGGCGAGCGGCACTCCGCCCGAGCAGGCGGGCGCCCGCCACCGCAACGCCAGCAGCGTGGCGCGCGCCGTCGCCGCCGGCTCTGGCGCTCCGCAGGCGCCCGGGCAGGTCGCCTCCGTCGTCACCGTCTCCGTCGCCGACCACTCGCTGTCGCCGGCTTCGTTGGCGCAGCGGACTCGAGCCTTGTACGGAGTGCCCGGCTGCAGTCGGTCGCAGTGCGCCTCTCGATCGGATCCCTGATAGGCGGGTCGGTAGCCCTCTCCGCCGTCGATTTCGAGGGTATAAGACGCGACGGCCGCGCCCCCATCGTCGCCTGGCGGGTCCCACCTAAGTCGGAAGGCGCGCGAGTGTATTTTGCCGCGGGGGGAGGGCCTGCCCGGAGCGGACGGTCGTTCCGGAAGCGTTCGATAGGTGACCTCCGTCGACCAGGGACCTTGGCCGTCGGCGGTCTCGCAGCGAAGTCGAAACCGATAGTCGGTCGCGCGGCACAGTCCGGTACACTCGTAAGATCGCTCGGGGCCCGAGTAGACGGGAAGAAATCCGTGGCCGCGGGCGGCGTCGTCCATCTGCAGGGTGAACTCTTCGTCGGCGCGGCGCTCCCAGGCGAGCGCGAGCGTGCGCGGCGCGGAGGAGCACAGCGCGGGCGGAGCGGGCGCGGGGGGCGGCGACCCCGCGGTCCAGGCGACGGTCTCCTCGCTCCAGTCGCCGCGGCCGCACTCGTTGACGGCGGCGACGCGGAAGCGGTACTGCGTCTGCGGGCGCAGGCCGGCGGCGGTGTGCTGGCGCGTGCGCGGGCGCGCGAGCTCTGCGAACCCGTCGCCGGCGTCGAGCTGCAGCAGGTAGTGCAGCACGCGCGCGCCGCGGTCGGCGGCGGCCTGCCAGCGCAGCTGCAGCGAGGCGCGCGCGCGCTGCGTGACGCGCGGCGCGGGGGGGGCCGCGGGGGGGGCGGCGGGCGCGCGGAACGTGGCCGCCTCGCTCGCCGCGCCCGTCACCTCTCCCGCGCGGATCTGCAGGCACACAGAGTACTCGCAGCCCGGCTTCAGGTCCCGCACCCTGTGGATTGATAGAAAAATATATTACGGAATGATTATACACTAATCCTATCAAGTGATCTATTAAATAATATATCACAAAACATTTGACACAAAAAAATTGTGTATCAAAAATTTATAATTTACTAACCGACACGACAGGGATGGTCCACTATAGATCGCTTTATATCGCTTGACATCACGATCTCCGAGCAATAGGTCATATGTTAACTCCAAGTTAGGAACTGGTACGCCATCCGGATAAGGTGAATTCCATTGCACCAGGGCACTTGTAGGGGTTATCTCGCTCACCTAAAAAAACAATAAAAATTATTTTTTTTTTTACATTTAAAAATTTCTTTTTACTAAATCTTCAGGCTATATCATTTACAAGGTAAAATAAATACTGCATTTCTAACATTCTAGTTGTTTTGGGGCACATATTAAATAACAATTTTTCTCATGTAACTTAAAGTAAAAATGGATATATTAACTTTAAGTGAACATACCTGTGGTTTGCGTATCGTAGACAGCATGTCTAGCACAGCCTGCATATCGTTCTCGTCGTCGTCCTGTACGGACGCGCCGGCCGAGGAGCCTTCGCCCTCGGACCAGGCACCCGAGGAAGCGCCCCCACTGCCGCCACCGCGGCCATTTAACTCCTTGCGAGGTGACAGTGATGGTGTGCTCGCGCCAGAATTCATTTCGACTGATGAGTAAAAGTTTATGTAAATACATTTATTCAGTTTGTAAATCTATTATTTTGTTATATTGTAGCACTATCAGAGCTAATTTTATATGACTTTGTACCAAATATATAACAATTATGTAACATTTTTTTAATAAAGTCAAAACTGTTATTAATGTAAACCGCACTAAAATTGGTTCAGCTATTTCTGAGTTTAGTGGCACATACACAGGAAAGCAGACAATTCTAATAATTATAGTTTTGAGTTCTATTATGTTGATTAAGTTACCCATTAATAGTTTTTCTCATATATCTTCCATGTACATACAAAAAACAGTTATAATTCTATTATATGTTGGTATTTAATTTGGTAATTTGTATACTAACCTACACCATTATTCCTATTAGTTTGTTTACGTTCCAATTTTTGCTTTAACTTCGAGTACTGCCGTTGCGTCCTTTCATCTTTTTGGAAGACCGATGGGGGTGGAGAATGCTGCATGTGGTGTGGAGGCACATGATGGTAGTGAGGTGGGTATCCTGCACCATAGAAGTGTTGAGGACCACCCGCACCATTCGTTGGGCCCTGAAATATTTACAGAGCATTACAATAATGGTATTTTCAATATACAAGACTTAAAAATAGTCATATAGAATGAATAATTCATTATCATCATCTAGGTTATATATAAAGAAAATTAATCCTGATAAGAAATTTTTATTACCATTACTATTATTATAAGGTACCACAATACATTATAAATACCCATGTAAATCCATTTACATTTGTCTTAATTCTTATAAAAAAACTTCCAATGTTTTATTAAACATATACAGTCTTTTTACAAGACTACTTAATACTACAGTTCATTACATATTTCCCACAGATAATATAAAGAAATCAGTCACTTGTGTCTGTCAGCATACAATTGAGTTCCCTTTTACCAGAAAACTAAAGTGATCAAAAATATTATTTCAAAAAAAAAAATGTATAAAGTAAAAATAATTTTATCTTTATTGATCTATGTCTTCATTATAACTATTTAAGTAATATATAAAATTTATTATTATCGGCATGTGACGATGCACAGCATCTGTGAGAGTGCGCCCGTAGTACTTCCCTTCTAATCTACCAATAGTAAGAACTTCCGGTTTTGTTTAGCGACTTCCGGTTCCGTTTAAGAACTTCCGTTTCCGTTTAGCGACTTCCGGTACTAATTATTTGCTGTCTTAGGAGGTGTGTCGACCAACGACCACCAAGCCTCATAGCGTCGTTACTTCCCGAACAGTGAACATCTAATTTTATCTTAGTTTGCTAACGATATAGTTGCAAAATTTATAATTAGTTTAATACTTAAATCTAAAGTGTGATCATGAGTAATAGTGAAGTGAATAACGAAGAAGCTCCGCTACACCGCGCATCGAGCCCGGCCTCAGCTCCGGCATCCGGCAGTGGCGGTACCCGGCGCCGACATACCTGCAGTAGCGACTCTGCTTCCGCTTCATCGGATTCCTCAGACCACCAGGTAAAAAGAAAAAGACAAGGTGAGTCAGATTTTGATATACAGAATCTTATGTACAGAGTTAATGCATTGACAAATATTTTATTGCAAAATTCATGTCTACCGTCTTTTCAAACGGAAGAAATTCAGAATATGCCTAGCAATTGTACAGCGGCACATACAGTGGCGATTAACGCACCGGCCGCGGCGTCCACGGACACTATCCGTGACCCACCATCGAGACCCACCACAATGGTGTCCTCCGATTTTTCTTTACGGCGCCCAACGGCTGCTGTACCAAATGAAACGCGGTTGTTAAATCTTGGCCAAGTTAATACAACCTCTAAAGACCCTAAAGTACCCCGGGCGGACCCCGAGCACTTAAAGCGGTTAGAATTGCTGCAAAAATTCGGTGATCCATCTTGGAAAGAGGTTCGATATACTGACGCCTTGAAAATACATTGTGCCACCCCTGGTTTTGTTGAGTTGGATATAAATGATGAACTGAGACAATTCCAAAAAGGCAAAGACTATTCAGCTAAATCCGAAAAAATTGTAGCTGCTATTTGTAATGGATTGTTGACACAGCGTGATCTATTGAATCAAAGCCTGCAACAACTGGTTGACTGGGCGGCAGCCCCTGATACAACTCTGTCTGCTGGAAATATTTTTGATAAAATTTCAGAATTATTTCAACCTAATTCTAAATTTCATAAAGTAAGCGAAGAAATTATGCAAATAGTTTGCGGTAAGCGGGCAGAATGTATCGAAACTCGCCGGGAGCGTATCCTGGGTGAGCTGCCAAACAAGAACTTACGTGAGGGTCTCCGTAAGATACCTCCAAGTTCTGGGTACCTTTTTAATGAAACTCACCTGCATGCTTACATTGCAAACACAGGTGGGATGGATAAATGGGTTCGACCATGGTTTGACTCGGGAAAAGAGCTCCATAAACCAAATACTAAACCTTGTCATAAGCATAGTAAACCTGGTCCGTCACGTGAGGCTAGTCAGTCCTTTCGTAATCAAGAGCACGCATCAAATTCAAGGAAGAACAAAAACTTTGCCTATCGTCCAGAGCAGAAAAGATCGAAGAAAGTCTATCATCGAAAGGACAGCCTACCCGGCAAAAAGAAATTCGATAAATGACTCGCAACTCACACAACCCAGGTTTTACGGAGGCTGTCTTCGAGCGTATCGGAGGCAGTGGCAGGCGCTTCGGGCTCCGGAGGCCCTTCTCGGAATGATCTCGGGAATGCGTCTACCATTTACCTCCAAACCACTACTTGTCCATCCATTGGCGAAAACCCTAAATCGCTTCAGAACAACCCAGTCTCCAGATATGTCGGATCAGATAAAGATCCTGTTGCAACAAGGTGTCCTGGAAATTCCAGACCAACAGGATCTGGGCCCCAGTTTCTTCTCAACAATGTTCTTGACAAGGAAGAACGATGGGACTCACAGACCTATTTTCAACCTAAAGCGCTTGAACCAGTACATACTACCAAAGCCTTTCAAATTGATTTCACAATTTCTAATACCACAGTTCCTGCAGAAAAACGATTGGATGGTAAAGCTGGACCTTTCATCAGCCTACTTTCATCTACCCATTGCCAAGACCCACCGAAAATTTCTCAGATTAATTTACGGTCAACAGATACTCCAAATGACCTGTCTACCCTTTGGCCTTTCATGCGCCCCGAAAAATTTTGCGGCGCTAACCAACTGGATCGCACAGTATCTTCGGAACCAAGGCATGCGTGTAATTGTCTACTTAGACGATTTTCTTATAGTAAGTCAGTCACGGCTGTTACTCAAAGATCAGGTGAGAGCTGCTATAAAAATTCTAGAACAGCTGGGGTGGACGATAAACTACGAAAAATCAGTAATGATACCTACACAAGTGATAGAGTATCTGGGACTACGGTGGGATACGAACAACAACCTGAAATGCTTACCGGAGAAAAAAGCTGCGAGGATAATCGCAATCGCGACAAAAATAATGCGCAAAGGAGCAATGACACTGAAGGAAGCACAAGTGATAATGGGTACCCTAAACTTTGCAAATTTTGTCATACCCAGGGGCAGACTGCACTCCAGACAGCTTCAGCTATATGCACGGAGTTTGTCGAAAATATCTGCTCCGACCCAATTGATCATCCCAGCACTAGTACAAGAAGAGCTAACATGGTGGATAAAGACGTTAACAGACTGCAAGGTATCCAGCGATCTACATCCAAGGGCAGTACAACACTTCTTGACCACAGACGCTGCGGATTACGGTTGGGGAGCACAAATGGACGATCTAATGGTGTCAGGCAGGTGGACTTCCAATCAAAGGATTTGGCACTGCAATTGCAAAGAAATGTTCGCGATTATAGCAGCAGTAAAACATTTCAGATTCCAACTACACGGAAGTCACCTGATTTTACAATCCGACAACCGTACAGTCGTCTCATACATACGAAAAGAAGGCGGCACACGATCGACAGCATTGCTCAACTTGACATACCAACTCCTGAGTATTGTAGACAAATGGGAAATGACCTTGACAGCGGAGTATCTTCCAGGCAAGTTCAACGATGTTGCGGACAGGCTGTCGCGAGGGAAACAACCAGCCGAATGGCATCTTCAACAGCCAGCTTTGGAAAAAGTTTTTCGTCAGTTCGGAGTGCCGTACATCGACCTGTTTGCCACCAAACAATCTCGAGTTGTAGACAGATATGTCACAAAAGATTGTCGGGACCACTCTGCACTATTCCACAACGCTTTCAGCCGCCCATGGAACTATCAGTTGGCGTGGGTCTTCCCACCACCGAACCTGATACCACGGGTACTAAATCATTTAAATACCTCCCAAGGAGTATTTCTTGTCGTAGCCCCAATGTGGACGAAAGCGTTTTGGTTGCCGGATCTTCGTCGACGAGCATTGAGCAGACCCATGAAAATCACCAACTTATCTCAAGTGCTTATAGATCAGAGCACCGGCCTCCCTCCACCGAGAGTTCAAGACATGACATTGTATGTTTGGAGAATTGGGGGTGGGGCGACATAACAAGTAACTGGTCAGCCGAAGAACTAAGCCTATTGAGATCTAGTTGGAGAGATTCAACATTAAAAACTTACAAACCAGCTTGGAATAGATGGGTTAGGTTTTGTGAGAATAATAATATAAACTTTAAACATCCCGATGCAGTAAATCTAACTAGGTTTTTAGCTTATTTGTGGCTTGAGGAGAGATTAGCATATCAAACTATTTTGTTACATAAATCTGTAGTATTAACATTTGGAAGAACATTAAACAACGAAAATTTAAATTCTAATTTTTTAGTTAAACATATGCTAAAGGCTATCTCTCTTCAAAACCCAAGAACAGAAAAACCCCCCATTTGGGATCCTAGCGATCTGGTTTGCTGGTTACAGGATAACCCGCCAACAAATGTAACGCTATTTGAAGCCTCACGTAGATTAGCTTGTATATTACTGCTAGCCTCGGGACGGCGTGTCCATGACCTAACCTTGTTAAAAGTATCCCCTGACCACTTTACTGACGATATCGATAACATAACCTTGTACCCATCATTTGGATCCAAAACAGATACTGCTTCATACAAACAGTCTGGTTGGCGTTTATCAAAACATAATAACCCCAATGTGTGTCCTATATTTTGGCTTAGGAAGGTTATCGAACTAGGTTCAGAGAGACGTACAATAGAATGCAATAATTCTCTATTTATCAAAATTAGAGGCTCTATGGGATCAGCTTCGCGAACGGTTATAGGTAACTGGGTTAAAACAATATTCAAAGATGCAGGTATATGCGCCTCTCCGGGCAGTGTGCGTTCAGCTGTCGCCTCTCTAAATTGGTATGAAAATTTCCCCGTAGAAAATATACTTAGCCGTGGTAACTGGCGTAGTGAAAATACTTTTGCAAAATACTACCGTAAAGAAATTATTGGTAGGCCTCAATCAAGCGCAAATCTTTCAAGTAATTTTCAACCAGTCTAAAGTATGATTGTTATGATTACTGGTGTATATTATTATTAATATTATAGAATATATAGTGTTAAGTTGGCATTTTATAAGTATGTAATAGTTAAATTTTGTTCTATTATTATGATGTTATTTATATAAATATTGGAATATATCGGATTATATGTTAGACTTATAATTTATCTTGATTATACTATAGCATATGTTATTACGTTATCACATAGCGTCATTTGCTGTCACCAGGAGTTATAAACACGTCTCTCACAGATGCTGTGCATCGTCACATGCCGATAATAGTGCAAGTTTTACATAACAATAAAACTTGTATTATTGAGCAGAGACGATGCACAGCATCCAATTTAGGTCTCCTGGTGAGAGACTGCTATGAGGCTTGGTGGTCGTTGGTCGACACACCTCCTAAGACAGCAAATAATTAGTACCGGAAGTCGCTAAACGGAAACGGAAGTTCTTAAACGGAACTGGAAGTCGCTAAACAAAACCGGAAGTTCTTACTATTGGTAGATTAGAAGGGAAGTATGGGACACAGTCACCTAGATACATCAAAATAATAATTGCATTTAATAATGTCTAGTAAAACAATTTCAATATTGTCTACTAGGCACTGCTGTATCTAAACTATGTCACCCCACCTTACATTTTCCTACTGTTATTTAGTATATAAGATCATTATTTCTATGTACACATTGTCAGTTTATAATCATCAGTAATATACATCGTCTCGACCAGCAACATCATAATATTCACCCGCAACAGTGGTGACCCCGACGTGATCTGCCCGACGTGATCTGGCCGACGTGGTCGAGACGATACCTGGGAAAACGACGAGATCAAACAAGAGATCTCTGTCTGACGGCATCCTGCGCACCACCAACGATTGCACATTTCCACCGGCTTCCCAGAAGCGGGTCTCACCGGCTCGGAAATTCAAGAGGCATAAAAGTCGTTGGCAATACTGCGCAACAAGGATCCTGCCGTGCTACTGACCCCCAGTAAACACAACTGCCTGCTGGATATAATCTCTGGACGAAAAATTGAAACTGGAAAAATAAAGCAAAAATGCTGTCTACAAAAGTACAGCCAACAGTCACCGCCGACGTCATTGCACACCTGTCGTCACTAATTGCGACACTGCGATCAGAAATTGCTGATATACGCGAAAAGCGCTCGCCACACACAAACAGACGCAGCAACTACAGATCTAGGTCAAATTCGCACCTACGGTCATTGCATAGTCAGAAAAATGACTATTATTTATATTATATCATCGCAAATATAAAGAAAAGGCATACAAATGTGACATGCCGCGCTCCTATAGACAACCGTCGGAAAACTAGATTCGATGCAGAATAAGACGGAACGCTGTGCTGTTCATCCGTCTAACCGCCTAGCTATAACCGACTCTAACAGTGGCTATAGAATTTTGGTGGACACCGGAGCAAAAATCTCGATGAATAAAAAACAAGCACAGACCAAAGAGAGCGCTAGCGAAATCAAATTATTCGCCGCAAACAATTAATATGAGCAAATGCGAGTTTTTCACAAATGAGTTAGATTTTCTTGGTTATCATATAACGAGCCAAGGGATGAAACCAACGCAAGAAAAATGGCAAGCAATCGACGAGTGCCCTAAACCCACGACAGTCGAAGATTTACGTCGTTATTTGGGTATAATGAATTTTTATTGTTACTAAAGTGCATAATATCTTAAATTTTACAGTTAACTTTTATAATTTTTTTGTGTGTAATATATTTTTTTTCTCTCAGGGGGGAATATCTATGGGACACAGTCACCTAGATACATCAAAATAATAATTGCATTTAATAATGTCTAGTAAAACAATTTCAATATTGTCTACTAGGCACTGCTGTATCTAAACTATGTCACCCCACCTTACATTTTCCTACTGTTATTTAGTATATAAGATCATTATTTCTATGTACACATTGTCAGTTTATCATCATCTGTACAATACATCGTCTCGACCAGCAACATCTTATTATTCACCCGCAACAGGAAGTACTACGGGCGCACTCTCACAGATGCTGTGCATCGTCTCTGCTCAATAATACAAGTTTTATTGTTATGTAAAACTTGCACTAATGTACTATTAGGCTGAAAATCAGTTTTAAATTACAACATGGAGGTACATGAAGAAAAGGAATGGTGAGATATTTTTTATTGTATCTATTCAAATGGTGACTATTTAAAGTCGAAAGAGTGAAAAAATAACAAATAACGTTTTTTATCTCTATTTATTATTGTAAAATCAGCTTTAAATAGTTTTAGTTAATATATTTTTAATTTAGTTAAGATATTTTTCAAAAAACAAACATGTACAATTTATTTTTTTAAATGGAATTTGACTTTCTGGATTTAGACCACTGTTAAACTACTGTTACTGTACTGTACTACTGTAACTAACTTTAGACCATAGATGAATCACAATTTAGAGATAAACGTCATTTTCTAATAAGGAATACATTGGTGAATGATTTATTACTAGTGCTAAACCAGGTTTATCTTTTTGTAATAAGGCTGATAAAATTTACGACAAAACATAAACTAAAATCATATTTCAATTAAAATATATTTTTAACAACTCATAAATGAAAATAAAAAATGCTGCTGTATAATTTGTAATTAATAGTATTATTTTAGATCTGTATGCATACAAATTACAAATTAAATAGAAATTATACAGCAGCACATTTTCCTATAAACAAATTGATTATGAATGCTAGTATTGTGCAAACTCACAATCACCAGAAAATACAGTGACATGTTGAATTGTTGTATGGTATAGTGATTTAACACACACAAGGTCATTAAAGATTGTTCAAACAGATTTGGTCATTTCATGGTATGTAATGAATGAACTATTTCTACATACTGACATGTTATATAGATAATATTAGTAACAGGTAACAACATATGGCAGAAGATAAATATTTTGGATTTATGTTATATGATTTTAAATATCTATATAATAATGTATCTGATAGATACAACATTTTATAGATATGTTTAAAAATATGATTTTATAAAAAAGAGATTATTATTTCCGACAATCACAATTTCTAATGTTATTGATAATAAATATCCTTATCTTGTTAAATATTTGTAAATAATAAATAAAATTAAATATACATACAAGCCTACTGACCTTAGATGTTGGTTTTTGATCATCTTTTTTACTGTCATTAGGATCACTCATATTTTTTTAATATGAATAAATAGAAATAAACGAAAAGCAGCTCGAATAGCCGCGAATTGTGGACGTCACTGCCACGTACAGCCAACTCTTTGGACCGCTGATAAGGCTTACTACAATCGCGGTCGTTATAACATTGCTATGATTAGATTAACGCTGAATACCACTGAAATACTTCTGTAGAACTACACACACAACACAGTCGGTTTATAGTTTCGCTTGCGCACGAAATATAGGTAAACATATATTGTAGACATTCAAATGAAATATGAGAAATAGTCATTAATAATAATACAATACAAACGACTGTTTAAACAGACACTGCATTTAGGCTAAACGATTTATAGCGTCATCGTTTTAAAGATGACAATTCAAAATTTAATAGCCCGAAGTCAATTTATTTACAATTTAGACTTTCCAAGCACTGTATTATTTATATTAAAATATAATTACCGGTTATTAGACGGATATATAAATAAATCTAAATACAACACAAGTCAGAATATTGACAGATCAAAACAAAACAAAAACACAGTCCATTATGACTACCGTGAAACCAGAAGAATTTGCCTTATTCTGTGAATGGAACTAAATTCGAAATTTTGAATCTGTGTAACAACTTGTACTAACTGTATAAAAGCATATTTGCCGCCTTAGTTTTAAGTGACACAGTTTGCATATAACGATGAAACCTTCAAAATGAGGATAATGCAAACTATTGTTTGCAAATATTAATATGTGGTACTAAAAAACAATGGTATCACTATCACAGTTTCATACATAAATTATTTTATTCATAGTGACGCAAGGACATGATTGTAGCTAACAAATGTCAACTGTCGATGTCAATCAAAAGTCAAAACACAATTTAGCATGACAGCACTAACGTCATACATTTTTTCTCTCGTATGGCATTCAGGCTCATTCACCTTAATTTTATGGTTTACTACTACTAAATGTTACCCACGACTTCGTTTGCACAATGCAATACCACCTCCTCCCAAATTATAGATTAAAATTTTAGAAATATCAGTTGTACTAGTACTACTACTAGTCACTACTAGCTGTTCTGCACTATACGGGGTTGACTCTGTGAGAGATCTCTTTTATAGATAAGTCCACTTCCAGATCAAATTCCAAACATTAAGTATTATAACGACAATTCCCTGTTTTTCAGTATAAAAGTCACATGGAAAACATCGTTTTAAATTTAACGCGATCATTATTTTTTACAATTAGGAAAAAACACAGAATCTTACCATGTCTTACTTGTTAGTATTAGTTAAAATACTGCTGAAACATCAGAAGCTTAAAAAATTGTAATAATCCGTGTTTTTTCCTAATTGTACGTATAAAACATGTGGATTAAACAAAGCAGAACTTACATAATGATGCGGGGGCTGGTGATGTGGCGGTGGCTGGTGATGCGGTGGTTGGTGGTGTGGCGGCTGGTGGTGCGGCCCGTGGTGGGGGTGGGCCTGCGGGTGCGGGTGTGGCACCAAGTAGTGCCGCAAGCTCTCGTCCATCACTTGCGGCATCAGCTGCGGCATCATTGTCGCTGACGTCACCACTGGCATGCCAGCTGTAATCATTTGTAAATAGTATTTTATTTCATATATAACAAACATACAGACAGGTAGACACTTTCGCATTATTGTAGACGAGATAGTTTGTATGGAGGCCTAAATGACAGCCGGTTAAGCGTAATAAAACGCTAAATAAAAAGCATATTAAAATTAGCTATGTAATTGTAAAACATTTTTTTAATTTTAGATCGACATTAATAGTACCTATAATAATTATTTATAATATTTTAGAAATAAATTATAATGTACTGAGTGCAAAAGTGGTTACGGTAAATTAGACAACCCATAAGATCCTGTAGATCAGAAAGACGATGTCCATAATATACCTCCGACTGGCTAAGTTATAGAAACAGGCCAATGTAAAGCGACTAGTTATTGATATTTTTATGACATGAAATTGGTTTTTGTGTGATTATCTCCACTTTTGTGGCTGGCGGCGCGCTGCTCATGACGGAAACATGCCGCATAGTTTTTAGGTAAACTACCTATTATGGCCTGTTCGCTCGAAAGTCGAGTGACTACACAATACAACCGCAAGCTCTTGAGCAACGCCACACTTAAACATCTCAAGCCTTGAATCTCATTGTTTCGACGGATGAAAGGGTTACTCTCAGGTATAATTCGTTCATAATTCTGACACGATTCGTAATTAATGCGGTTGTACGAACTCATTTTTTGTTGTAATTATGGATTGCAAATTTTCACTAGGTACTGAATATTGCACACTAATATTAACACTAATTGATGCATTAATTATTGTAAAGTACGTGCAATTAAATAGTCAATCAACAAAAAATTTTAGTATATAGAAAGACACATAGTTACACATACATTATAATCCATTTACATTTATAGTGGAGTTATCTCCTATTATGATGTACTGTCGATTCCTATTATAATGATCTGAATCCAAACAATAAGGACACACTTAGGAGAAATTAAAAGATACGTACAAAATGCACAAAGAATATTGTAAACGAGGTAAGTTAAACTAAAATGTCATAATCAGGTCATGTGCAGTCTAAGACAATAAGAAAACAAGTCTCCTGAAAGAGTATATTGCAGAAGCGGAGTGTCTATTTCAACCGCCAAGCAGCTTCTTTTGTAAGATGTGTTTCGTTTGAAGAATGGAAAAGACTGTCCCTAAGCTATTCCAATTATATAAATAAAATAAGATGAGAAAACCACAGTGTAAGGATAGAGTTAATTGACACTCGCTTCTATCGCAAAGGGGATGGTCTATACTGATCATTTATTTTTCATCACTTATAGTGAGAGAGTAACTGACCGTATTCGGTGTGAACAGTGCACATGTGCGGATGTTGTGGGTGTTGTTGCGGATGCTGGCAAATCTCCTGCGGCACGTAGTAGGACTCCGGAGGGTAGTACTCGCCGTAATAGCTGTCAGCGGGGCCGCCGCTACCCCCGCCCCCCTCCGCGACGCCCACGCCCACCATTGCGGAGTCTAGCAGCGCATCGCACGCAGGTGCATGCGCCGCATCCGCTGCCAACACGCCGAGCAGTCAGCCTGCAACAACACAAAACGATTCCTTAGATACTTGGATCTGACAACACCAACAGTTCATACGCTTCAGCTCTAAATAATATTATACCTGAACTATACACACAGAGCCATCTAGGCCCAAGTAAAGCAGAGCTTGTGTTATGGATAACTGATATAAATACTTAGATATACATAGAAAACACGCAGACCAATACCAACAATGATACTCATGAAGGAATGTAGTTAGTAATGTGGACTGTTAACCCCATTGCTAGCAATGTATCGTATCAGGTTGACCTCCACGCGGTTTCCCCTGGCAACCATTTTGACAAATTCTTAATAAAATTGCTAAGATGAGCTATGTGATATTATTTCATGCTCATTTTATTATCCTCTATTGGTGTCATTCCATTATCATCCATAAAAAAACCATACTGACTGCGTGCGAGGAACCCGCGACTATCGAAAGTAAGGCGACATGCAAAACTGCTAGACCACCGAGGCCGTGAAATAAGGAATCAGACAATGAAAATTAGAAGATGATTAAAATCCGCGACGATTGATAGACAAAATGATAGACTATACTTTCAAGGTTATCCGTCGTGGAGGGCGTTTATAATGGAGTGTGATGCCCAGATTGCTAGGAATGTCACTTTAACAAAACGTAATTTTATGCTCATCCCATCATCCGCTTGTGGTGCCCGGCGCCGCTATACCGTTAGCGCATTCCAACAACAGTTGTTACCTACCTAAAGCAATTATCTTATCTGTGATCTTAAGTAAATATTGTCTTATAAGTTTGTTTCAACAAAACTTAAAAACGTTTTAAAACTGTACAATCAATCAGCCCAAATTAAAAGCTTACAGAGGAAAATGTAATCCAATTTACATTAACAGGATAACAATGCCTACTAAAGGAAATTATTTAAATAAGTAGGTAAAACAAATATGTAATAATTTATAATTAACGGCACAATTAATTAATAATATACATATTACATATATGTATATTAATAATTAATTGTGCCGTTAATTAAAAAATATATATTGTTAAATCACCAACGTTTAATGTTCATTCATTATATATTTACGAGTTCGTCACTCGTAAACATGATTCATTGTACATTTTATGAAAGGAAAATAATCCGTTGAATACACTATCTAAATATGTTTATATACTGATATCATTTACAAGTCGTTGGTATCTATACAATAAAACAATTTCACTACTAAATTATGTAAACAACAGGAAGTTTATACAATTAATGAAGTATTTAGGACTATTGTAATAATAATTTTTATTCATAAATATGCAGTCAATTCAATACATATTAGAAACTATTAGTCGCAAAGATTGTTTCATTATTTAACTAGCAGTTACGAGCGACATCCTACACGTGGAATTTCATTTTTTTTTATAAAATAAATGAAATAAAAGTAGCCTAAAGGGCTTCTTATAACATGAGCTATCTACGACGGAAATACCGACAAAATAGGTCCGATCGTTTCAGAAATTACCACGATCAATCAAAACATACGCACAGACAGGTATTTTTTTTATATTAATTATTTAATAATATAAAATAATAATTGCATAAATGTGCTAAATTTCCTTATCTACACATATATTACCAGTGTACATTATAAATACATATTTTGTGGTGGCAATTTTCATAATGAGCATTTATGAAAGTTGACACCACAAAATATTTTTGGTTGCACATACATATTTCGTAATTATATTAATATATATAGGTACACATATTAAATTTCGATGATCATAGACTATGAAATATTATACACAATTGCAAAAAGGCTGAACTTGATGATGCATCGAAACGAATGCCACCCAGATGGATATCATTTGACAACTTTTTAATTGATTTGATTTCGATGAGTATTTTCTTTAAGGGTACACCATGCTACTGTAATGCCACGTCAATTTGAAATTATGTACACTTCTCAGGAAAAAATCAACAGAATTGAGTAGTAGATGAAAAGTTGTTGTCTCTATATTTTAATAATTATTATCATAGAAGCTAAATTTTTAATACATGCTGTTTATTATTACTCTCATTATTACCTGTATTACTATTTAAAAATGTTGTGAGAATATAGTCTATAACAAACATAATTTATATCTAAATGCACGCCTTTGTGGCAAAATATAGAGTGAATTTCATACATCAACTGATTTGAAAACATGCAATAAAAGAAACTTCGAATTTTGACTTCTATATCTACTTTTTAAACAATTGTGTTTATTACAAACTGCGTGCCTTTTAATGCATCGTCAAGGCTTAACGTTTTCAATTTTAATTTGAGACTTCCCCCGTATATTAATTCACTAACCATGCACATAAGTACGTATGTAAATGTATAAGATAAGTGATAAGCGGACTACGATACGGGCATAGACAAACTTTTCATGATCCATCAGTTCTGGCCTAGTAACTGCGTAAAATGGAATTCCATTCATTGACAATTTGAAAGAGATTAAATTTACAGGATAATGTTTTTTGTCTATCTCCATCGTAAATTCTTAAGATGAAACGTTAATTATGCGCAAAGGCATTAATTGCACTTCCTACTTAAAAAAATATTCACTTACATGTTACTTTACGAATATTTTAAACACGAAAGTTTGTGAGTATGAATGTATTAATGGATATTTGTTACTCTTTCACGCAAAAACTACTGAATGGATTTTGATGAAACTTTACTGTAATATAGCTTATATATTAGAATAACACAGGCTATAATTTTAAAATGATATTATGTAAATTGGGTGTAATATAATAAATGTCAAGTAAATATGATACAGATGAAGGTGTGGGTCAGCTAGTTTCAGAAATAAAGGTGACAAGAAGTAAAGCCGGGATCCGATAACGGTAAGTCTGTAGCATTTAGCGATAAATCACTATAATTTAAAAGGTTTAAAACCAGGTTTGACAACGCAATACATGTGAAGTTCAATTCAAATCACGAACAGCATTCTTTAAACACCGCCGGGCATTGAGTCTAAACATCCACGTAGAGTAGCGTTCTCAAGATCCAAGACAATCATTCATCGCTCTCGATCACGTTCAATTGGATAATCGCTGAGGTTGCGTGGCGTTTGCTGTTAACGCCGGATTCTACGCGTTGTTATGTAAATAGGGACCGCGGCCGGCAGGGTCACGGCCGACCGTGCTCCGCAACCTCAACCCTCGACACAGTATACATAACGATCCAAATATTAAAACCGCGGCCCGCCATATCTGCGTAGTACTCCAGCGGAAGTGCCTCATAAGTACTTTACGGGCATTATTTAGCTCAGTGTATGGGTCGGAGCTGTAATAAGATCAAGGGTCAGTTGCTTTTGGCTTGTGCCGTCCTCGCCATGTAGTTACGTGTACTAATACAGACAAGACTCGTTTTATAATACAAAAGAGAATATGTAAGTGTGTATCTAATAATAGTTAGGTACAAATACTCCAGATAATAGTTATCTAGTTACTTGTCCGATTATAACATATACTACCTTAAAATACCATACATTTGCAAGCAACAATAAACTATTTGGGTATGTATATTATGAAAGAGAATAATAACATGGAATAAAATTCTATACCAAGCCGGCGCGATAATGCTAATCCCTCCTCTTAAGCGGGGACAAACCTGCCCTCTGTTGTAGAACGTTCATGAGTTGATATGATTAGATACAATGATTTCTATTTTACGTCACCTAATAATAATATTTTTTTCATTCTTATATTCTATTTCTAGCTTCGTGACAAGAAATTTGTACTTTCAACGTTAAATACGCATGTAACTAAGTTGACTTCAAAGAAAAGGATGTAAGATACCGAGAGTCGGTGTTTGTTTGATTACTCGGTTGGCGGAGGCACTTCCGTGCCTCCGGACGCGTCCTTCTTTTAATTGTTGAACGAAGCTGCAGTCACTAATGAATGCAATCGGGTACATACGTATGAAAATAATGAATACTTATAATATTTTTTTCTATTAACTTATATCCACGCAAAAACTAGCGGAGAAGTTCAGGGATTACGCTAAGTTATTTATACATTCTCAGTCCCAAATGTGTCTAATGTGTATGTGTCTACATTAGTACCTAAATATGTCCATATCCGCTGGCTACAATTAGTTTGGCGTTAGGTCATAGCCAATTTAGAAATATGTTTTTATGATTTTCCTATCAGTGAATTGGCAATTGAAACGAAACATAATCTCGCCGCTGACGCACGTGCACTCACGTTTACCATCGATCCAACAATTATACGATAAAAACCAGCTTTGGTCTTTGCCAATAAAGTACGTATGTTTCTTTAAACATACGTACTTTATGGGCTGTTTTTCCTCCTCGTCGTGCTTAAATGTGACAAAACAAACAGCCTTTAGCGACTGGTATAGAGCTGTGTTCAAATCCGAAGCGTTAATGACATCTATCAACACATAAAACGGATCAATAAATATAAATTTTGTAACACACCTACTACAAATTTATTTATTGGGCACCCATTTTATATCTTGTTTTATATGTCACTGGAAATTGGGTATAAACAGACAGTAACAAAAGCTGCCTACCCATTGTGTATTGTAAATTCAGGTTTACGCCTTCAATATGCCTGAGACAGGTCCAGAATTCATGTGGGTATCTACTTGCCTACCTGAATATTGCTCCTGTATTTTAATGCTATTATATAAGAGTATACTATAATAGTGACATCATCTAAATCTATGTATTTTATTACTCAAAAGAATCAAACCCTAAAATTATGAACAAATGAACTAAAATCTTATTGTTATAGCCTAGCAACTGTGTCAGATCTGTCTGTCGGGATTTCCAAATATCGAGTGAAGTGTATAAAAGGAAGAGCTCAACCGAACGAACGTGTCTCGTTCGAGACGTTCTGAGAATTAATTTACATAGCAAATGTGCGGACGGTAGCGAGAACTCGCATTTTGCCATCATAGGTATATTGTACGAATACATATTACAATAATTATATAGCAGACTTCAT